TCTGTGTGGTGACGTTCACCAGTGAGCCACCTGGTCCTTGGCTCTATTGCTTGGGGTTTTGAATAGTTTCAATGTCACATCTTGCAGGTCTACTCATTTCCTATTTGTTCTGGAGTCAGCTTTGGTAGTTTGTTTCTAATAATTTATCCATTTCACCTAGATTACCCGATTTGTTGGCACACTTGTTTTTTTTTTTCATCTTCCTTATTTCTGTCAGGTTCAATCATGCCTTCTTTCACTGGTTTTAGTAATTTGAGTGTTCTCCTTTTTCCTTGGTCAATTTAGCTAAAGGTTTGTCAACTTTGTTGACCTTAAAGAAACTTGTTGTCCTTGGTTTTCTCTAGCTTCTTATCCTCAGTCTTTTATCCCTGCTTTAATCTCCCTCCGCCTCTGGGTTTGGTTATTCTTTTCCTGGTTCCTTAGGCACACCATTAGAATTGCTTTGATGTAGACATTTACGACTATAACACTCTGGCACTGGTTTCATTGCTTCTCATACTTTGGTACGTTGCATTCTTATTGCATTCTTCTCAAGGTATTTTCTTCCCTTTGTGATTTGTTTGATCTCTTAGTTGTTTAATTGTTAATTTCCACATACTTTTGAGTTTTCCAAGATGATTATACCCAAAAACTCAGTTATTTCACACTGAAGTAGATATATGCCCACATGTGAGCAAAACCTCACCAGAAGAGACAGACACAATGTTTGATTTTGGCTATTAGTAGCCAAAACACTTAATGACTGAGAAATAAACAGAAGCATATTCATTAATGAAATACTACATAGCAAGGAAGATGAACAAACCAAAGCCACCCAATCCAAAAAAAACACAAATTATCCCATCTACTAACGTTCAAAGAGGCAAAGACTACATTATATAATTAGGCTGTGTGTTCTTCTAATTAAACGTTAAGGAGTAATTTCTGTGAAACTCACATCAGGTCGAGGGCACTGGCCAGGGAGTGTGGCTCCAAGTGTTGGCATGTGTCTCTGGCTGCGGCTGGTTGTCTCCTGGGCATTTGCTTCCCGGTGATTCATTAAGATGTACTTTTGAGATAATCCAATGAGTTGTGTGTGTGTGTGTGTGTGTGTATGTGTGTGTTATACTTCACAATAGAAACAACAAGTATATATTGGCCTTGAGTTGGTAACATCAAAAACTTCTTAAAAGCAGGGAGATCCAAGATGGCTGCGCCCAGGTGAACACCTAGCCGCAGCTGCACACAACAATTTCAATAAAATACAACTAAAATATAAAACGGACATTGCCCAGAACTACAGGAAAGTTGACTGACTGGAAATTCTACAGCGAGAAGCAATGAGAAAACCAGAAGGAGGCTCGGAGGAGCTGGAAAAGCCCAAGGTACGGAGATGCACTGAGCGGAGAGGACGGAGCCGGAGAAGAGGGAGGCCGAGTGCCTGGCGGGCGTTCCCTAGCGGAAAGGAGATAAAACTCCGACTGTGCTGGGCCCCCGACTGCTCTGAACCCCAGTTCTAGGCCAGACCCCGGGGACTCAGGCTCAGCCATAGGGAGCCGGGCTGTAAGGCGGAACCCCGGGGAGTGGCGAAAGGAGGTCCCGGAGGCGCGCACACTGCGTGCAGAGAAGGGACGGTCGGCTGTGCCGCGGGATTGCCCTGGCGGGAAGGGGACAGGGGCTCCAGACTGCCCTGAACGCCACCTCCAACTCCACTTCCAACTGAACTGAACCCCAATACCGGGCTAATTGGGGGAGAGCATAGACTGTTTGGCAGCAGGTGAAAATTGAGGGCACTTTTCTCTCAGAGGCGCCGGCAGCGAGCACTGAAGGACCCGCATAGGGCGGGGCTGACGGAAGCCAAAGCTGCAGGCTCCACCCTGAAACCCCGTCCCATCTGTAACTGAGAAATGAGACAACAAAATAGATCACAAACAAAAGAAATGGAGGACAAAAAGCGTCTGGATATAGAGTTCAAATCTACGCTTATAAGGTTTTTCAAGAATTTCCTAGAAAAGATGGATAAGACCTATGAGGATATGAAAAGAGATCAACTAGAATTAATAAGGAGTCATCAAGAAATGATAAGGGATCAACAATAAAGAATACATTGTCTGAAATAAAAAATATTTTACAGAGTCCTAAAAACAGAAGGGAAGATCGCAAGAATCAAGTCAAAGATTTGGAACATAAAGAGCCAGAAGACACTCCTCCACAGAAGCTAGAAGGCAAGAGAATCCAGAAAGTTGAAGATAATGTAAGAAACCTCTGGGACAACTTCAAGCGAACCAACATCAGAATTATTGGGGTCCCAGAAGATGAGAGAGAGCAAGATATCAAAAACATACTGAAAGAAATAGTGACAGAAAACTTCCCCACCTGGTAAAAGAATTAGACTTACAAGTCCAGGAAGCATGCAGAACTCCAAACAAAAGGAATCCAAAGAGGACCACACCAAGACAAATCATAATTAAAATTCCAAGAGCAAAAGACAAAGAGAGAATATTAAAAGAAGCAAGAGCAAAGAAGGTAGTTACCTATAAAGGAGCACCTATACGATTGTCAGCTGACTTCTCAACAGAAACCATGCAGGCCAGAAGGGAATGGCAAGAAATATTCAAGGTGATGAATAGTAAGAACCTACAGCCAAAGATAATCTATCCAGCAAAGCTATCACTCAGAATCGAAGGTCACATAAAGAGCTTCACTAATAAAAAAAAGCTAAAGGAGTTCATCAACACCAAACCAGAATTATATGAATTGCTGAAGGGGGTTCTTTCAGAAGAGAAAGTAAACAAAGATAAAAATTATGAACAACAAATACGTAACTATCAACAAGTGAATCTAAAAACCAAGGAAATTAAAAAAAAAATCTGATGAACAATAGTAACTGTTGAATATAATAGAATCAGAGGTATGGAAAGGGAGTGAACTGACAATTCTTGGGGAAAAGGGGAGAGGGGGGCGTGGGAAGAGACTGAACATAAACTGTGCACCTATGGATGAGGACAATGGGGAGTGGGGAAAGGGCAGAGGGTGCGGTGGGAACCTGGTGGCGGAGAGCAATGGTGGGGGAGAAAAAAAAGGAACATTTGTAATAATATGAAAAATAAAAACCTTATTAAAAAATAATAGTAATAAAAAAATAAAGTTTAGCATCAAGCAGGAAATATGCCAATTAAAGTTTAAATAAATACAAAAATGTTTTCCACATAAGATAGATAGTAATAAACAGTAGAGCATACCTGTGCTGTAAGAAAAATAGTCTCAAGTTTAATAAATCATATCTCTAGCTAGTTGATATGTCAAAAAAAAAACAAAAAAACAAACAACTTCCTAAAAGCAAAAGATAAACACTTTCCATTCTACCAGGTTACAGGCGCATAGAGCGAGGAAAGCTCACAGAGCATAAGGAAGGAAGTCCTCAGCCATGAGGAAACTTCAGAACCACCGGCTTGGATGCTGGACTTGATAGAATATGAAATTGAGACGTTTCTAACAAACATCTATATATATAAAAGCCTAAGCAATCGTTCAAGTAGTGCTATGATGTCCACTGACCACCAGGGGGCAGACGCTCAATACACAGGCATGGAAGAATGGAACAAATTGATGAATCTCAGAGGGAAGTGAGGAGGGGAAGGGCAGGAAGAAGTTAACCAAAGATCTTATATGCACACTAGAGGCCTGGCACATAGATTTGTGCACTGGTGAGGCCCCTCAGCCTGGTCTGGCCTGTGGGGATCGAGCCAAATATATGCACTAGGCCTCCAACATCCCTCAAGGGGTCCTGATTGCAAGAGGGAGCAGGACAGGCCAAGGGACCCCACCAGTGTATGAATCTGTGCACTGGGCCTCTAGTTACAAATAAAAGGAGCCCTTTGCTCAGTGGTTACAGTGCCAGCCCCAGGACGGAAGTGTTACAGGTTTGATTGCTGGTCAAGGGCATGTACTTCGATTGTGGGTTCATATCCCAGCCACCAGTTGGGGTGTGTGAAAGCAACCAGTCAATCTCTCTGTCTCTCCTCTGCCTCCTCTCCCCCTTTCATGCTCTCTCAAAAGTCAATGGAAAAAAACATCCTTGGGTGAGGATACTATCTAATAAAGAAGAAATATGCAAATTGACCACCATGCTGTAACAAGATGGCTGCCTCCACAGCAGAGATAGGGATCCCGAAACATAAGATGGATGCACCCAGAGTGGAGGCCACGTCCCAGTAATGAGCCTTAACAAGCAATCAGCAGGGACCCGAGTCTGAGTGGCACTGGTCCAGGACAGAGGACCCCAGGCCATGCGCTCCCTCCCACCCAGATCTAGCCCAATGGGGGTGTGGCCAGCCAGGTCTGGGTCTCGCAGGATTTAAGTGCAGGGACTTTACTCTGGTTCCCATGGTGCGCCCCAGACTCTGACAGGAGGAAGGTTTTCACATACATTTTACTAATGTTCTTTCATCTCAGACACTTCTATTGTAGAGAAAGGGCCAATAGCAATGTTAAAGTATTTCCTCTAATTAATTCCCTTTTAATGTGCAAGATGTGCACAGGGTCACTAGTGAAAAATAAAAAGCATAAATTAACATTAGTAATAAAATGATATCGAGATTAACTATATTTTGTGAAACCTTTTATGCCAAAAACTTATAAAGAGATGAGGTGTATGAATACTCAGAAACATGTAACTTAACAGAACTTACTTTAAAAACTGCGAATAGTTCACAAATATTTTTTAAAAAATCAAATCAGCACACCACACCCACATGGAGGGCAAGTTGTATGTCTGCACGCCCACTGGCCAGACTTCAGCGAACCTGACCCCGCTCCTGGGCCAAAGCCAGGGTTGGGCTGTGGGAGTCCCGGGGGCTCAGGAGTGGCCTGGTGCCTGCTGGCACTGGGGTGTGCAGCCAGATAAGCAAGTTCCCAGCACACACAGATGCGAAACAAACTACACTGGAGGCAGACGGGAATCACACACCGTGGGCAGGAGAACGATCCCAAAGAGCAAAGGAATGCACAAGAAGCTATCTGTTCAAATTCCTGGTTTTATTTCCATCTGTAACGCTGCAGAGGTCCAAAACAGACGGCCATTATGGGTCAAGTTTAAACGTAACAAAGGAAGGTTTGGACTATGTACACTGAGGAGGAGGGTTTTCATATGGACCTTTTCCTATCTTGCAGTTTCTGAACAGCAGAAGTGAACATTGCCCCCAATTTAATGCAGAAGTACAACTTTCATGATCAACGTTTGTCCTTACACAGAAAACACGGGCGGGCTGCGCGGTCACCCCGCTCCTGGAGCTGGTGCGGCAGGTCCCAGGAGGCGCTCCCACGCAGCCCGGAGAAACGCGACGGCAACCAGTCCAGTCGGCGGGCGACAGGCACGGCCCACGTGGGAGCCGTGTCCCAGCTCCTCCGCTCCACGTCCCACATCATCCCTTTCATTCAGACTAACCAACCGCAAGTTAGCCAAACAGCTAAAAGGCAGAATGAAGAAAACTTCACAGAGGAGGGCCCTCCTTCAGCCGTTAAAGTGAACTGTGCCGAGTCCCTGCTCCTCCCAGGGAGCCGAAGGCCAGTCATTGCTGCAGCCAGGCCTCTCCCCTGCAGATGCTCCACACACACAGGCTGCTGTCTGGCTCGAGGCCTGTGGGGAGGGCGGGGAGGTGGGGCAGGCTGGCAGCCCGTCACCCCTCAGCCTGTGCCTTAGGAGCAGCACTGCCACCTGGAGACCAGAGGCTGCCATGCCTGCAGAGAGGGCAGGGGCATTACCTGCCTCTTGGTGAGGAGGGGCCACCGAACTTTGCCAACCAGAACCTACAGGGCCGCCAGAACGCCACAGGGCCAGTCCAAATGGCCAGAGAACAGCTTCTGAAGTGCATGTTGGTTGTGGGGTGGTGAGAAGGCCAAGGCAGGCCCCAGCCGTCGGGCGGGCCACGCTCTGAGACACAGGGGGCTGCGGCTTGGGCACAGCTGGACGTGGGCTGATAAGGCCACAGATACTGCACCGCCTCCCGGTGTCCACACTGGAGACCGTGGGCGGACTGAGGACCAGCGGGCATACGGTGACGAGGATGGGTTTGTCAGAAAGGAGTGGACCCCGAGTGCAGGCTGCCCTGTATACGTGCACGGCCCGCGCCCAGGGACTCTGGGCCTGGTCAGTTCCTGAGAACGGGGGTGACAGGACAGGCGGGGCCTGAGGGACACTCACGGTGCTGCAACCTGGGCTGCGAGGCGGCGGCGGCCGGTTTTTATTGCACGTTTCATCCTCAGGGGCTGGCCACGCCCTCAGAGACCCCTGCGTGTCACTGCGAAGGTGTCGGGCAGGAGCCCAGCGGCTGGTCCTTCGGTCACCGTGCGGGCAGAGGCCTGGGTGAGGTAGCGTGCCCGCAGGAGCTGGGTAGACTGGCCACGCCCTGCCCAGGGCCGGCTCCCGACAGCACTGAAGGGCGCTGCGCAAGCCTCCCACGTGGGAAGCTTCTTGGCAAACGTGCGGGTCTTGGAGAGGCTGGAACTCCTCTCACTCCGAGGTGCGCAGCTCCTCGCTGCCTGGGACCAGGCCGCCAGGAGCAGGCCGCGCCCGGCCACAGGGCTTTGGCTCCCGCCGAGGCATCAAGCTGGAGGTAACGAGCGGACCTCAGAGGGTGGAAACAAGAAGCAGTTTACGGATCGGGCCTTGGTTTAAAAGTCACTGAGCTCAGGAAATCGGGGGCAGACAACCCACGGAGGCCGTGTGAGGAGCCCGCGGGATGTCGCTGTCCGTCTTCCCCGAGGCAGCTCGCAGCGCGTCAGATGTAAATGGGGTGATAGCGTTTGTGGCTCATCTTCTTCCTGCAGGTCGGGCAGGTGTTGGCGTTCTTGAGGGAGTCTCGGAGGCACTGGCTGCAGAAGACATGGCCACACTCTGTAGAAACAATGACACGCCCATTCTGCACAATCTAGAAAACAAGAAGGAACACCTTCACATGTCTGCCCCGAGCAGCAGGTCCCAGGGAGTCCCACTGCCACCGCCGGGCAGTGACGGCGAGGGCAGGGCAGGCCCGCGGGGCAGGGCCACGGTCTGCGGGGCCACGGACGCCTGGCAGCCAGGCTCCCGGCAGCAGCCCCAGGGGACCCGGGCACCAGAACCCACAGCCTGGAAAGGTCAGGGCTGCTGTGTGGGCACAGGTGGGGCAGTGCACAGGCTCAGGGGCCACAGCGCACGTGGGGCCTTCTGCCTGGGCCAGGACAGGGAACACAGGAGCGAAGAACGGTGTAACGGGAGGGATCTCTCACTGAAGTGTGGAAGCCGAGCAGCTCCCGTGGCGTGCTTACCTCTGCGTACCCGTCCATGCAGATCGGACAGCTGACCGTGCCGGAGGGCCTGGAACATAGGGCCTCGTGTCAGTGCCGAGCAAACACCGACCTGACGCCTCACGCCAGGGACGTCCCGTGTGCGCGCAGCCTGGCCTCCAAGAGCCTCCTCCGGCCCTGCCTCCGCGCGCACCAGGGACTCACAGGAGGCCGGCCACCCCAGGGTGAGGGGCCACAGAAAAGGGGAGAGGGGAAGGTGCAGACAACCTGCAACTAAGTCCTCCCCACTCCACCGCTGCCCCTGGACCCCCTGCCTGGGGTGGAGCCTGCACCCAGCACCCTGGCCTGCTGGTTCTGGGAAAGCCCTGGCCATGGGGGACAACTGGCCCTGGACTCAACAGTGCCACCTGCAGGCAGCCGGGAGGCAGATGCTTCAACAGCTCTCCCAGGTCACGGGGCCAGAGCACTGGCTGAAGGCCACGTGTCTCCAACAACCCCAGCACCCTGGGAAACGGAGGGGGCCAAGGAGGTCCCAGGCTAGAGGCGTCCTGTGAGAGCCTGTCCCCGGATGGCAGCAGCAGCGAGCGGGTGGCAGGCAGGTACCTGAGCCCCGGCGATGTCTCTTCCCTGGCGTTTCTGGGAGTGTGCGTGGTCACATACACGTCCCTGTCCCTGCTCAGCTCCTCGTCATCGCTGCTCACCACACAGCTGTCCGCGTGGTCCTGGCGCTGCCTCCTAGCGTTCCTCCTCGGCCGCCTCCTTTCTGAGAGGGGCCCACACTCAGGACAGGGGCCTCCCCGCCCACCACCCACCTCCAGCCAGGGAAAGGCCAGTCGCAGACCCAGACTCCGGTCCACACCAGCAGTCCCGCCCGCCCGCGGAGGCCCCGTGTCTCGCCAGGAGAAGCCCATCCCTACGAGGGCACAAGCCAAGCTAGGGGCCTGGCCCCGTCGAACGGCCAATCGGAACACAGCATCACTGCGGTGCCTCCCGCTGGCCTTGTCAGCTGTCCATCCAACCCAACGAAAACGGAAACGCTCACCATCAACGATCTTTCAAAAAAGAGAAAAGAAAGACACAATCAGTTTGACACAAAACCTCTGTATCGTCTGAATGCATAAATGGTAACTCCAAAGCATTTATTTCAACGCAAAACCCCCAGGGGACCAGCGAGCCCACCCTGGGTCTGCAGCCCTGGAACTGGTCAGTTCCGGGCCCTCCGAGAGCTGTTGTGAGGACTAAGGGAGGCCAGGCCTGGCCGCAGGCACCAGGGACATGGAGCCCAGGACTAGCTCCACACCCGCACCAACGACAAGACTGACTCCAGGGGCCTGCAGCCAAGGTCGCGCACTGGGATTGAGTGCGCGGTGCCTGATCCTGTGAGAGCTGACCACCAGAGGAAGCAAGCAGGTGAGGGGCGAGTGCCGTGTACACGCCAAGGACCCGCTGAACCCCGTGATGCGACCGAGCCCCGGACGAGCCCCTGCCCGCACGCCCAGCCTGACACCCAGACCCGTTCTGCCTGCCATTTCCAACCAGCTCCCGACCCCAAGTGACAGCCAGGGCTGCGGACAGGCACAGCCCCGCAGCGGCACGGCGGGGCCCTCCGGGGGCAGCCTGAGACCCGGCTGGATGCAGGCTCAGGCTGAGAAGCTACAGTGACTTCTGGAGACTCGTTCCTCCAGCCTCCTCATGCGAGGCGCCTGCTCCACCAGTAAATCCTTTGCTGCTTTGGGACAACAGCAGTGGCCCGGGTTCCAGCCTGTCCGCTGACCGGCACAGCCACTCGTCCCAGAAGCAGCAGCAGGAAGCCCAATGTGGCCCCTGACACCCGGCCCCTCCCCCGGGAGCCGCGGAGTGGGAGGACAAACGGGGAGCTGTCCTCACCGTCGGGGCTACGTTTACTGGGACACGGGGTGGCTGGCAGATACTGTCCACGTGAGTCTAAAGAGGCCACAGGTCTGCTGTGCCCAGAGGGTGAGTGCCGGGGGACAGGACGCCGGCTCCCGGCAGTGTGTGGGAACCGGCCCCCACACAGCTGGCAGAGCCCCCCTCCGGGTGCCTGGCTCCGCGTCTACAACAGGAAAACAGCCGAGAGGGGGCAGGTGCCTGGGCGCCACGCCCTTCCTGCGCCACTGCCACCTCCTCGTCCTTCTCCACCCGCGCCTGACCACATCCTTTCGGGAGCCCTGAGGTGTGGCTGCTTGCTCTGTGCCCTGCTCCGGGCTTCAGACACGGCTGAGGAGCACAGAGACGGGACAGGGACAGCAAAGCCCTGAGCCTCTCCTCTGCCGAGAGGCCTTCACACAACAAGCACCAATGCCCTGGCCGGGAGCTCAGCTGTGAGAGCATCAAGGTTGTAGGTTCAGTCCCTGCTCAGGGTACATACAAGAGTCAGTCAATGAACTGATAAATAACTGGAATAAATGGATGCTCTCTCTATAAAATCAATCAATAAAAAAACCAACAGCCCTAGCTGGTTTGGGTCAGTGGTTAGAGTGTCGGCTTGGGGACTGAAGGGTCCCGGGTTGTATTCCGGTCAAGGGTACATGCCCGAGTTGTGAGTTCAATCCCCAGTAGGGGCTGTACAGGAGGAAGCAAATCAATAATCCTCTCTCATCGATGTTTCTCTCTCTCCTTTCCTCTCTGAAATTAATAATAACCCCCCCCCATACACATAAAGTAGCTGTCTTAATTAAAAAAAAACACAAGATAGACAAATAGCAAACTTAAACAACAGCCACTCCCAGTGCCCGGCCCGAGCAGCAGGCAGACGGCGGGAAGCTGATCCAGACGGTGCAGGATGGGGAACCTGGTGCTGCTTGCTCTCCCCGGGCTCTGACCTGGTCACTCTGAGCGTCTCCAGCAGATGAGCCTCAGGCTCCTGGTGAGCGGAGGACCAGCCCTTCTCCAGGAGACAAATGCCCGGCCTCCGGGGGCCTCCTAGGGCTGAAGCAATATCCTGCGGCAGGAACACTGGGGTCCTCTGCACCAGCTGGCCAGCTGACCCCGGAATTCCTAAGGACGCTGCTCCCAACCAGAGCTCAGAGCCACCTGCTTTAGACAGCCAGTTCCCCTGGAAACCACAGCCACCCAACCATCACCAAGGGGTGCCTCCCCCCCCACCCCCCCTCAGTGACAGACAGGCGCAGTGACAGACAGGCGCAGTGACAGACACATTGCTGTTCCTATGGCAGCGCCCACGCAGGCAGCATGGAGTGTCAGCCAATAGCCAGGGCTGCCAGGCAGATGCCTCTGCGGACTAGTCACGTAGAGAATGAATAATGAAAACAGGAGAGAGTCCCCAAATGTTTGGAAGTTAAAAAATACAAATTTGAAAAATAGCCGAAACCGGTTTGGCTCAGAGGGTAGAGCGTCGGCCTGCAGACTGAAGGGTCCCGGGTTCGATTCCGGTCAAGGGCATGTACCTTGGTTGCGGGCACTTCCCCAGTGGAGGGTGTGCAAGAGGCAGCTGATCCATGTTTCTAACTCTCTATCCCTCTCTCTTCCTCTCTGTAAAATCTCAATAAAATATATATTTAAAAAAAAAAAAAGAAAAAAAGAAAAATACACTTAACTGAATGTAAAATACCAATAACAACATCTGTAGGATACAGCTAAAGAAAATATAACCTTAAATGCATTTACTGGAAAAGACACAATCAAAATTATTAGGTTAGAAAAACAGCAAAATACACTCAAACAAAAATCAACGAATAAAAACAAACTTACATGAGAAAGGGTCCATAAAGCTAAAAGTTGGTTCTCTGAAATCTAATTAAGCTCTGGTGATACTAATCTAAAAAGACTGAAAACACAAACAGCTAGTATCAGAAATGAAAAGACACCACTACAGACCCCACAGAACATAAGACATTATGAACAAAATGTATGCAAATAAAAGTGAAAATTTTAGATAAAACGGACAAATCCCTAAAAACGAAAATCACTCAAACTCATTGTAAGTCGGGGTTAGGTGCTGTCACTGTAAAGTTCTATCAAAGATTCAGGGAAGAAAGAATTCCAACTGGGCAAAGTCTTCTGGAGAACAGAAAAAAAAAGGGGGGGGAACTCACTTTATAAAGTTACCGACACTGTGATACAAGAAAAATTACAAACCAGCCTTACTCTGAAAAATAGTTGCAAAAATAACAGTACAAAATATTAGCAAACTGAACCGAGCAATATTCAAAAAGATAATTTCTGACCACAACGTGAATCGGTTTAAGACTAGAAATTAATGTTAATTCTCCACTTTGATGCACGAAAGGGAGAGAAAACATCACCAGATGGCGCAGATAGAGTAAAATGCAGTACTGCATCCCCAGGAACGATGGATGCCTGGGACCTGAGTGCGTGTACATACACACACACACACACACACACACACCCCACAGAGGTCTTATTAACAGCGAGACTTTGAAATGGTTCTTTCAGATTTGGAAGGAGAAAAGAACGACACCATTTCATTTAGAAAAAAATAAAACGGAACTTTAAAACGCCGTTTTTGCCCAGGCCAGAGTGGCTCAGTTGCTCGGAGCATCGTTCTGTATGCTGAAAGGTTGCAGGTTCGGTTCCCAGTCAGGAAATGTGGAGACGGCAACCAATTGATGCTCTCCCCGCAACCCTAAAATCAGTCAGCATATCACCGGATGAGGATTAAAAACAAACAAAAAACCGCCACACCATTTTCTTTTCTTTTTTAAAAACATGTTTGGCTCCTTCTATGAAGCCAGCATCACCCTAATACCAAAACCAGATAAAGACAACTCAATGAAAGAGAATTACAGGCCAATATCCCTCATGAACATAGATGCCAAAATCCTCAACAAAATTCTAGCAAATCGTCTCCAGAAGAACATCACAAAGATCATACACCATGACCAAGTAGGATTTATTCCAGGAATGCAAGGATGGTACAATATCCGCAAATCAATAAATGTGATACATCACATAAACAAATTGAAAGATAAAAATCATATAGTCATATCAATTGATGCAGAAAAAGCATTTGATAAAGTCCAACACCCTTTCCTGATAAAAACTCTTAACAAGGTGGGAGTACAAGGACCATACCTCAAAATAATAAAAGCCATATATGATAAACCCACGGCCAACATTATACTCAATGGGCAAAAGCTAAAACCTTTCCCTCTAAGAACAGGAACAAGACAGGGATGCCCACTCTCGCCACTCCTGTTTGACATAGTACTGGAAGTACTAGCCATTGCAATTAGACAAGAGGAGGAAATAAAAGGCATCCAAATTGGAAAAGAAGAAGTAAAGTTATCCTTATTTGCAGATGACATGATATTGTACATAAAAAACCCAAAAGACTCCATTAAAAAACTAATTGACTTAATAAATGAATTTGGCAATGTAGCAGGATACAAAATTAATGCCAAGAAATCCATGGCATTTCTATACACCAACAGTGAAACTACAGAAACAGAGACTAAAAAAGCAATTCCATTTACCATCGCACCAAAAAAATTAAGATACCTAGGAATAAATTTAACTAAGGAAGTAAAGGATCTATATGCAGAAAATTACACGACATTGAAAAAAGAGATAGAGGATGATGGAAGGAGATGGAAGAACATACCATGTTCATGGATTGGTAGAATCAACATCATCAAAATGTCCATACTTCCTAAAGCAATCTATAGGTTCAATTCACTCCCCATTAAAATACCAAGGGCATATTTCACTGACCTAGAAAGAACTCTCCAAAAGTTCATTTGGAACAATAAAAGACCCCGAATAGCCACAGCAATCCTGAGAAAGAAGGGTAAAGTAGGAGGGATCTCAATACCGGACTTCAAACTGTATTACAAAGCCACTGTTCTCAAAACAGCCTGGTACTGGCACAAGAACAGACATATAGATCAATGGAATAGAATCGAGAACCCAGATATCAACCCAAATCAATATGCTCAATTAATTTTTGACAAAGGAGGCACGAATATACAATGGAGTCAAGACAGTTTCTTCAATAAATGGTGTTGGGAAAATTGGGTAGACACATGCAAAAGAATGAAACTAGATCACCAGCTTACACCATACACAAAAATAAACTCAAAATGGATACAGGACTTAAACATCAGACGGGAAACCATAAAAATACTAGAAGCATCCTCAGGCAGCAAAATCTCAGACGTATGCCAAAAGAACTTCTTCACTGATACTGCCCCTAGGGCAATGGAAGCTAAAGAGAAAATAATCAAATGGGACTACATCAAAATAAGCTTTTTTACAGCAAAAGAAACCCATCAACAAAACAACAAGAAAGCCCACTGTGTGGGAGAACATATTTGCAAATAACACCACTGATAAAGGTTTAATCTCTAACATCTACAGACAGCTGATACAACTAAATAAAAGGAAGATGAATGATCCAATTAAGAAATGGGCAAGGGATCTAAATAGAATATTTTCAAAAGAAGACAGAAGGAAGGCCAAAAGGCACATGAAAACATGCTCAAAGTCACTAATTGTCCGAGAGATGCAAATCAAAACAACAATGCGGTACCATCTCACACCTGTCAGAGTGGCCAACATCAACAAATCAACAAACGACAAGTGTTGGCGAGGTTGTGGAGAAAAAGGAACCCTCGTGCACTGCTGGTGGGAATGCAGACTGGTGCAACCACTGTGGAGAACAGTGTGGAGTTTCCTCAAAAAACTGAAAATGGAACTCCCATTTGACCCAGTAATCCCACTCCTAGGAATATATCCCAAGAAACTAGAAACACCAATCAGAAAGGATATATGCACCCCCTATGTTCATAGCAGCACAATCTACAATAGCCAGAATTTGGAAACAGCCTAGGTGCCCGTCAGCAGGTGATTGGATCCAAAAACTATGGTACCTCTACACAATGGAATACTATGCTGCCATAAAAAAGAAGGAATTCTCATCATTTGCAGCAACCTGGATGGAATTGGAGAACATCATGCTGAGTGAAATAAGCCAATCAATGAAAGAGAAACACCACATGACCTCACTCATTTGTGGATAATAAAGAGCATTATAAACTGATGAACCAAAAGATAGATATAGAGACAGTAAAGCAACAAGCAGATTGTCAAATTACAGCGGGGAGGGGAGGAGGATCTGGGGGAGATAATAGATCAACCGAAGGACTTGTATACATGCATATAAGTACAACCAATGGACATAAAACTATGGGGAGGGAGGGGATATGGGGGAGGGAGGGAGGGGGGCAAAAAAAAATCATTAAAATATGTAAAAAAAAATAAATTAATTAATTAAAAAAAAACCAAAAAAAAAAAACCATGTTTGGCCGAAACTGGTTTGGCTCAGTGGATAGAGCGTCAGCCTGAGGACCGAAAGGACCCGGGTTCGAGTCCAATCAAAGGCATGTACCTTGGTTGCGGGCACATTCCCAGTAGTGGGTGTGCAAGAGGCAGCTGATCAATGCTTCTCTCTCATCAGTGTTTCTAACTCTCTGTCCCTCTCTCTTCCTCTCTGTAAAAAATCAATAAAATATATTTAAGAAAAAATAAAACATGCTTGTACGGAGAGAAGGAGAGAAAAAATGATGAGAGGGAATCCCTGATGAGCCTCCTGCACGTCTCCCCTAGGGCTCCAGCCCACAACAGGGACTGAGAGCTGGCACATAGGCCAACACTCAACCACTGATGGGGTCACACCAGTCAGACTCCTCACCACTTCCTTTCTTCCTTTCTTTTTAAATGTATTTTTATTGTTTTCAGAGAGGGAGAGGGAGAGAGAGATAGAAACATCAATGATCAGAGAGAATCATTGATGCGCTGCCTCCCGCAAGCCCCTACTGAGGATGGAGCCCCAAACCTGGGCATGTGCCTTTGACTGGAATCCAACCTTGGACCTTCAGTCCAATGAAGATGCTCTCTCCACTCAGCCAAACCGACTAGGGCCGCACACATTTTCAATAGCAACTTAAAATGTTATGTACGTAGGAACAAGCGACTTCCCTGAAATAAACCTAACCAGACTCGCAGAAACACAACAAACTAGAGGCTGGTGCACGAAGCGTGTGCCTGCGGCCTCCCAGTCCGGGAGCCTAGGGGGATGCTGCGGAAGCAGGAGTGGCCCCGCTCCCGCTGCTGTGTTTGCCGGTCTGTGAGCCGGACTCCTGGCTGATGGGCCCTCCCGGTGGGAGTGCATTGTCCTCAGGGGATAGCTCCTGCATTGAGCATCTGCCCCCTGGTGGTCAGTGCGTATCACAGCGACTGGTCGTTCCACCGTTCGGTCAGTTTTGCATATGAGCCTTTTATTATATAGGATGGTAGGCCCCCTGTAACCAAAGGTGCTAAAGTGGTGTCCTGGGGGGAACTGCCCAGGACGACACTGAGCAGACCCCCATGCGTTCCGACCATCCCAGTCTCCTCCCTCAAGGGCTGCAGAGTCCACAGGAAGGGGGCTCCAGCAGCCTCCCAGACTCCCCTTCCCTAGTCACACACAACCGAGGCCCCAGGTGGCAATGCCAGGTACCCAGTCCTCCAAGGCAGCTGCTCTGGGAACCAGCGGAGGAATGCACTGGTATTCGTGGGCACCACCCCAGGTGCCAGGCTCTCAAGGCAGCGTCTCTTAGTCCTCACAACACCTGCTGCTCCAGGCGACATGCTACCCTATGAACCACGTGAGCGAGGCTCAGTCACTCACTGGGGTCACACAGTGTGCAGTGTAGAGTCAGGGGCTGAGGGAGAGGGCCCTCGGAGTCCGCCCCGGGGGCTTTGTGCGGCTGAGGGGAGGTCAGGGGCACACAGGTTTTCCCTCCACAAGCAGCAAAGCCCAGCAACGTCCCTGAAGCAGCGATGCTGGGACAGCAATGAGCTGCTTCCGCACAAAGCTAACCCGGGGCCGAGGCCTCTGACACTGCTGCCGGGCCGACAGGGAGAGGCTTACCACCACAGAGTCGTTGTGCGTCAGGTCCACCACCACAGGCTCCAGAGACTCACAGGTGAGGTCCACTATCTCATCTCCAGCTTCAAACAGAGCACGAGAACAAACATTAATGGCAACAGAGCCCAGGCTTCTAGCAAGCCCCAGTACAGAATGCAGAGCGTGAGGACCAGCCTCTGCAGGGGACAGCAGGAGCGCCCCAAGACCCTGGCTGAGTTTACAAGCACCCACGGGGACGGGAAGTCTGTGCTCCCGCGCCTTGTCCCCGTGGCCCCACTGCCACCTGCTCAGACCGGGTCATACTCGGCTCAGCACCTTCAGTGGTTATTATTACTTTTAATATTAAATATTAAAAAAAAAACCAAATATTTAAAAAAAAAGTTTCAGAGGAATAAAAATCACACTATATCAGAGATGCCCAATGTAATTTACACAAAATGACCTTGTTCTTTTTGAAATAGTCCACATAGCAACACACCGTGATTCAGAGAACCAGTCATTCTCTTGCCGGTGGACCCAATTTTGGGCTCTTTCACATAAAAGCGACCCTCCCAGGGCAGCTAGTGCTCAGCCCTGCACAGGGTGCGGCCGCCGGAAACCCGAGGAGCAGCCCCTGCACCAGCCTCCCCTAGCGAAGGGCAGGGCGGACCGGGTGCCAGCCTTTGGGCAGCGGCTGGGTGAGCCAGGGCCTCAGGCTCCAGGCCCTTTGGGATTCATGGTCCTGAGTGACCCACTGCTCGGAGGGCCCACGAAATGCATCTCAGACCAGCTGTTTCTCTTAGAGTCAGTTTTCAGGCATCTAAAATAACTATAATAATAAACGTGTAATATGCTAATCAGACCGGATGTCCTCCGGATGAAGCTGGGGCCGGGAGGGCTGAGGCAGAGGCGGCCGCTGTGGCCGAGTTCCTTTCACTAATTCCGTGCTTCGAGCCTCAGGTCAGAGTTATGACGACAGCCTAGTGCTGCCACCTGCACTCCCTGGGCAGGCAGCGGGGCAGGCAGCCTGGCCACACGCCTGCCTTCTTGGACAATTCTGTGTCTTAATGGAGGAGAGGAAATCTGAGGTCTTCACAAGGCCACGCACACGGAGACACGCTTTCGAACAGCGAAGGCGGCCACTCCCGGAGGTGACGGGCAGCCAGCCGAGCGCGCAGCCGTTGGAGCCCCGGGAGGTCCTCGGCTCCAAGGGCAGCTCCGCTCCCGCAGCGGCAGGCTGTGCGCAGCGAGTCTGAGCTGTGGTCAGAGCGACACCGGCCAGCCCACCTGCAGCACGGTCACCTTGCCGACTCGTCTCAGCCACCTGACACCTGTGCAGCAGGCGCGCCATCCCCTTTCGGAGGAGAGGGCGGCCCGTGGCCGGTCAGCGGCAGTGCCGGGCACCCGCACCCACACCCACACGTGGCGCCCCGGAGCTTACCGCTTTCCACCAGCTCTATGGGCTCTGCTTCCAAGGCCATGCCCGGGGCGGAGGCCGCTTCCCGAGCTCGCTTCTGGGCTTGTCTCGAGCTGACGGCCCCTCCTCGACGCTTCCTCTACAGGGGTGGGGAGGGGGAGAGAGTCACAGGAGCTCCTGACTGACGGATCTCAGCAAGACAAGTCATCACAACGTCAACAAAAAGGAAGACAGAGGAGAAGGCAGGGAGCCTTGGGTTGGGGACCTTTCAAAACATGTGATTCTAGGCACTGAATGTTTAAATAGAAAGTACGCCCTCGCTGGTTTGGCTCGGTGGATAGAGCATCAGCCTGCGGACTGAAGGTTCCCAGGTTCGATTCTAGTCAAGAGCACATCCTGGGTTGTGGACTCAATCCCCAGTAAGGGACGTGCAGGAGGCAGCCAGCCCATGATCCTCTCTCATTACTGATGTTTCTATATCTCTTTCCCTCTCTCTTCCTCTCTGAAATCAATAATATATATATATATATATATATATATATATATATATATACACACACACAAAATAAAGTTAAAAACATAAATAAAAAGCACAGGACATACAACTCAACCAAATCCTCTGGTCCAGGAATCAAACCCATCAGTTTGGTATACATCAAGCATGTCAAACTCAAAGGCCAAATAAACAAGGTATAAGTGGATGTGGGCCACACACACAAAAAAGCTTCAATTTTCATAGAAATGCAGGTTTATTTCGATAGAGACATGCTGAATTCAAAGGGCTGAAATAAATGAGTCATCATTAATATAAATAGAACATTTATTTATTTATTTATTATTTTATTTTATTTTTTTTTAAAGGAAAGAGGTTTATTCAAGTGCTGATACCTGAGAAGATGGGAGATTTTTTTTTTTTTAATATATTTTATTGATTTTGTACAGAGAGGAAGGGAGATAGAGAGTTAGAAACATCGATGAGAGAGAGTCATCGATCAGTTGCCTCTTGCACACCCCCTACTGGGGATATGCCCACAACCAAGGTACATGCCCTTGACCGGAATCGAACCTGGGACCCTTCAGTCCCCAAGCCGACGCTTTATCCATTGAGCTAAACCGGTTTTGGCTATAAATAGAACATTTAAAATATATAAATATTTTATTGATTTTTTACAGAGAGGAAGAGAGAAGGATAGAGTTAGAAACATCGATGAGAGAGAATCATCGATCAGCTGCCTGCTGCACACCCTGTACTGGGGATGTGCCCACAACCAAGGTACATGCCCTTGACTGGAATCAAACCTGGGACCTTTCAGTCTGCAGGTCAACGCTCTATCCACTGAGCCAAACCGGTTTCGGCTAAATACAACATTTTAATAAAAATTAATATTTTTCTTAAATATTAACTTACCAGACACTGAATAACGGCACAAATTAATAAGCATCATGCAAATAAACCTATTTTTCTTGTTCTCCAAAAGCTAAATATTTCCTGTTGCGTGCACCAAATAAGCCAGTACAAGACTAATGACGTGGCCACCGGCTGCTAAAATATTCGCGGCTGGTGTTGGTGGAGAGAAATGGTGCGCCTGTGTGTAAGGCGCGGAAGGAAAATGAATGCAACACAATTATAGTAATCAGTCATTAGGGAACGGTGTAGTTCGTTATTAATAACTAGTGGTCTCTTGCATGAAATTTGTGCACATTAAAAGGTGATTAATTAGCCGAAACCGGTTTGGCACAGTGGTAGAGTCCCAGGTTTGAAAAGTCCCAGGTTCAATTCCGGTCAAGGGCACGTACATTGGTTGTGGGCACATCCCCAGTAGGGGGTGTGCAAGAGGCAGCTGGTCGATGACTCTCTCTCATCGATGTTTCTAACTCTCTGTCCCTCTCTCTTCCTCTCTGTAAGAAATCAATAAGATATATTTTTTTAAAAATTAAGTTACAGCCGAGGCCGGTTTGGCTCAATGGATAGAGCGTCAGCTTGGGGACTGAAGGGTCCCGGGTTCGATTCCGGTCAAGGGCATGTACCTTGGTTGCGGGCATATCCCCAGTAGGGGGTGTGCAAGAGGCAGCTGATCGATGACTCTCTCTCATCGATGTTTCTAACTCTCTATCTCTCTCTCTTCCTCTCTGTACAAAATCAATAAAATATATATTAAAAAAAAAATTAAGTTACAAAGCTTTTATTGAAACGTCTCTTACAGTTACATCCGTAATGGGCCGCACGCAGCCTGCAGGCTGGAGGCTGGCGTGTGCCGTGCGTGGTGCACGGGACGAGGCTCAGGCTTCACCCTGTCCCGGCCCAGAGCCAGGAAGCCTCTTTAGCCGCCTCCTTTGCATTCCTGTCGGCCTCACTGAGCCCCTTTTTAGCCCAAACACCTTCAGTTTGCCCAGGTTCCACCCACTGTGGAAAGCAGGGCTTCCTTTAGGAAATCTGGCCTCTAACCATTAGGTTTGGTTCCCCGCCCCGCCCCCCCCACCTCAGAGAAAAGAGAGTTTTCTTTTTTTTTTTAAAGTATATTTTATTGATTTTTTTTATAGAGAGGAAGGGAGAGGGATAGAAAGTCAGAAACACTGATGAGAGAAAAACATCGGTCAGCTGCCTCCTGTACACCCCCCACTGGGGATGTGCCCGCAACCAAGGTACGTGCCCCCTGATTGGAATCGAACCTGGGACCCCTCAGTCCACAGGCTGACGCTCTATCCCCTGAGCCACACCAGTTTCGGCGAAAATGGAGTTTTCTAAGCCTGTCCCCAGGGCTGCCTGAGAGCCATGACCCCAGACTCTGCCTGGCCTTCCTTCCTCGCGGAGTGTCCCGGCACTTCGCCCGGGCGGCCTGAAGGCGGGTGCCCCTGCAGCCTTCCTCAATGCGACAGCACCTCCTCCGGAGCCTGTGGCACTGCCATTCCCGCCTGGTCCGCCCTGTGCCCTCACAGCCGCACCTGTGGTCCTTCCCAGGGATGACTTGGCAGCTCCTTCGTGACTGGGCTGACCTCCCTCACCGCCAGCAGCAGCCTGGCAGAGCTGCCACGGGACTTGGCAACAAGATGAAAGGCCATACCGCCCAGCTGCTCCATGCTGCCCTGGCACTGCCTTGGGCCTGGGAAGGACTGCACAGTTCCCTGCTGGGGGCACGCACACAGGCCCCCGAGCACCCCAGCCGGCCTCAGTAGGCAACAGCAAGCCTGAGTCTGTGTCCAGACAGCTCCTCTGTCACATGGCCGCTTGAGGGGCTGGGTCAGCAACTTCCCCCGGGTAGAGGCAGGGGGACCATGGGCCGGAGGAAGCTCAGGTCTCTGTGAGGGGGGCCTGTCTGAGGGCCACCCAGCGTGGGCGGCTCTGCCCACTCATGGCTTCCCAGCAGCCTCCAGGTGCCCTAGGCTCCCGAATTGGCCTTGCATGTTCCTGTCTCTGCAAAGGACCAGATCTTCCAGAGTAGTCACAGCTGCAGACCCTCATGCCCACTGCAGCCCTTGTGGTTTCTGATCCCCACTGAGTGCTGAAGAGGCAGCCACAGCCGGGGCCAAAGTCCCGGTGCTGGACCTGACCACCCATCATAGGCACTGTAGCAATGTGTCCCCAACACCCCACCCCCAACAACCCCCGTTCCTGGCTGCCCCCTCAGCTCCTCCATGCCTGTCCCCAGCCTGGACCACCCGTCCCTCCCCGCCTTCACCAGATTCCTACAGCTTTCAGAGACCTACTCAGATGTCCCTCCATCGCAGGGACATGCCCCCGTGCCCAGCTGGACTGTCTGGGGACCTCCTGCAAGTGCACTCCCCGGCGCAGGGAGGACGTGCTCTTGGGTCGGGGCCCAGGACAGACACTGCAGAATGTAAGCTAGGACGCTGCACCCTCACCCTTCTCTGCCCTCCTGCCCTCATCACAGCGCCCAAAAGGTCCACAGCTCAGTTAAACACGACCACCTAGTTCTCCCTCCCATCCAGAGGACATTAAACTGACTGCACACTGTCCTCCACGCTGCACTGCGCCTGCCGATCCCCATGAGCAGAGCGTGGGCTTCAGAGAGGACAGCTCGGGACTCGTGCTTCCTGCGTGGTCAGGAGGTGGACCGGGCAGTGGATGGCAATGGAAACGTTTCTATTACTGTTCACCCAGGAGCCGCTTGTGCAACCTCACCTTGCCCCACCTCCATCCCCGCTCCCAGCACCCTGCCCTGCCAGGAGCGAGGCTGCCTCCCTCTGGCCCACCTGATGGAGCTCAGCATCTCAACAGCCAGCCCAACAGCCATCCCGTGGGGAGGAGTGAACGGGGGACCACCTTCAGGCGGCTTTCCCTCGAGTCGGGACTCGGTGACACCAGAGCAGAGCTGGGGCTGCACCTGAGAACAGCTCACTGCAGAGCCTCTGGCCGCGAGTAAGAGAGCCGGGTCTCCCACGGCCCAGGGAGGCCCTGAGGGAGGGTACGTAAGCCAGAGCCTCACAGGCTAGGCCGGCAGCTGGCCTGCAGGCACAGGATTCCCGCCCTCAGCCTCCCTGCAGGAGGCCACGCAGCCCTGCCCACTAGACAGCACGCCACGTGACAGGCAGTGCCCAGCCTGGAAAGAAAGGGCGCTCGGCGCTGGGACTCACCGTGCTCATGGTGCTTCCCGCTGCAGCGGAGACGGCCGTGACCGAGAGGCCGCGGGGACGTCACGCGTGCTCAGCCCCTCCTGCCTGCCGCCCCCGCATCCTCCGGCCAGCACGGCAGTCGGGGCCACGCAGATCTCCTCCGAGTCCTGAAAGCAAAAGGACCACGCTGACAACCTGCCATCTGCACTGCCCACCACTCAGCTCCGCTGGCTCCTTCCACGTGCTCCCAGCCCACGGCCCCAGGCCAGGCTCCACCACCCCACCCACACCTGTCTTCCTTTGGGGCCCGAGGGCCTGGGAAGCTAGCCTTCGGAAACGACCAGGGAAAAGGGGCATTCCCAGCAGACCAGGAGGGGAGGAGGAAGGCAGTGTGTGGGAGGGCAGAGGCTAGGGTCGAAGGAAAGGTAGCCTTCACCAACGATAAAGGCTCACGGGTCTTGCAGGTGAGAGGCCGTAGGAAGAGAATGAAACAACCGTGTGCAGGGCACCGCACTCCGCAAACACGTCCCTGTAACCCCTGTGTGCAGGGCGCCGCACTCCGCAAACACGTCCCTGTAACCCCCGTGTGCAGGGTGCCGCACTCCGAAAACACGTCTCCTGTAACCCCCTGCCACCGAGGAGGGGCAGGCTCTGTGCGGTCACCATTTCACAGGCAGGTAAGCTGAGGAGGATCAGGGAAAGGAACATGCCAAAGCCCGCAGCCAGGACACATTAGAACCTTATTTAAAACAGGGCATCCTGCCCTAACCGGTTTGGCTCAGTGAACAGAGCATCAGCCTGCGGACTGAAGGGTCCCAGGTTCGATTCCGGTCAAGGGCATGTGCCTTGGTTGCGGACACATCCCCAGTAGGAGGGGTGCAGGAGGCAGCCAATCGATGTTTTTCTCTCATCGATGTTTCTAACTCTCTCCCCCTCTCCCTTCCTCTCTGTAAAAAAAAAAATAAAAATAAAAATTATATATATACATATATATATATATTTAAAAAAATAAAACAGGGCGTCCAAACCCCGGAACCCACTCTAAATAGAGACCATGACAAAGCCAGCTGTATCCACGAACTGACCCAGGGAAGGGCGATCAGACAGCTGCTGAGGGCAGGCAGGTCCCAAGGCCGCTGCAAGGAGAGACCCGGGCACAGGTGGAGAGCACAGCATGTCAGAGAGAGAGAAAGGGGAACAGAGAGAAGCCAGAAACAAAGCCGGAAGACCCTGGCCGTCCAGCAGGAGGGAGTGGAGGGCTGGAACAAGGGCTAGAACAAGGCCAGAGCGGCCCCAGGACGCGGATAACTGTGCCTTCGCAGGCAGAGGCCCAAGCCAGGCCGCCCGGAGGAAGTGCCTCAGGTCAGGCTCCAAATGAGGGGCTGCTCCAGAGGCAAAGCAGGACGGGGGGGACAGCGCAATGTCCAGACAAGCACTGCCCTGTGCAGTGGTCAGAGACCCAGGACGGACGGTACCAGGGGCTTCAGACAGAGGCCACATTCAGAGATCCTGTCACCGGTGCTCCGAGGGCCGATGGAAGACGACAGTCAGACCCCAGGCAGTAAGGAGACTCAGAGCAACCCAGACAGGACACAACCGTGGGCTGGGAGGTGTGGCAGTGAGCGGAAGGAGCAGAGGTGACTGGATGGCGGGGGATGAGGCCGATGTTTCCTGTTCTTACCGATTAAAAAAAAAAAAAAAAAGTATGTTTTTCTTTATTTCATAGAGGAAGGGAGAGGAAGAGGGAGAGGGAGAGAAACATCGATGATGAAAGAATCATCGACAGTTACCTCCTGCACACCCCACACTGGGGATCGGGCCTGGAACCCGGGCATGTGCCCTGACCGGGAATTGAACCGTCACTTCCTGATTCATAAGTCAACGTTCAACCACTGAGCCACGCCAGCTGGGCTGTTCTTACCAATTTAATGGTCCACTCAGGGACCTGCACACAGGGACATGGTTACATCATGGTAGCGGCAGACTGGGGAGGCAGGAAGTGTTGCAACAGGAACCGAATTGTGATTGCATCTCACACAGTTTCCCAGTGCCCCTGACGGCACGGAGAGCCCTCACACCACGCCAGGGCAGCCCGAAAGCCACTCCTCGCACCGTGCCCGCAGGCCGAGCATGCTGACGGGCGGCTCCCCGCGCACTCGCTCTGCGGAGGGAGCCGGTGAGCACACGGGCCCTCGGCGTGCAGACTGGCAGGCAGCTGACAGTCCCCGTGCATGGGATGAGGTGGCTGGGCAACCTCCTTCGCGGTGCGGTGACAGCACCGCCTAGATTAGCCCTCGAGGTCCAAAAGGTTGGTGACCGCTGGACTAGGTCACGTCTCCCCTTTTAAGCCAAAAACACAGTCATCCCCACGTTACTTTAAGCACTTCCAGAAACGGAATTTCTAAGCAGGATTACAGAACGTGTGTGACGAAGCAACAGCGTCTGCCTTGGCCTGAGCACTGTCCCTATACCTAAAGGTCGTGAGTTTGATCCCTGGTTGGGGCATGTAAGGGAGGCAACTGACCATGTCTTTCTCTCCCTTCCTCTCTACAAATCAATTAAAAATATATATTCTTGCGTGTGGATTAAAAGAAAAGAAAAAAAGGAAAAAAAATAAAAGCAAAGATCTTTTAAAGACTGCCCTGTGTACTACCCAAGTGTCCTTGCCATGGATCAGCACCTGGCATGACCTGCCCTCCTGGTACTCACTGGGCATGAGCATTGACAGTTGCAATAACTTTTTTTTTTAATCTTTTATTGATTTTTTTTTTTTTTTTTTTTTTTTTTTACAGAGAGGAAGGGAGAGGGATAGAGAGTTAGAAACATCGATGAGAGAGAACCATCGATCAGCTGCCTCCTGCACACCCCCTATTGGGGATGTGCCCACAACCAAGGTACATGCCCTTGACTGGAATCGAACCTGGGACATTTCAGTCTGCAGGCTGACGCTCTATCCACTGAGCCACACCAGTTTCAGATGCAGTAACTTTCATTTCAGAGCTTCTTAGATGGAACTTTGTGACATGCTCACATCAACAACCAGGCCTCGGTGCCCAAGGAAACAGGAGCCTCTGGAGCCGTACACAAAGGCGCTCGGCAGCCAGCCAGCACCGTGCAGCCTCAGTCGGAGCCTTGCACACACACTTGACCTCACGCCTCAGCTTCCCACCTCTAACGTGGGGAACTCCCCTCCCCCTGCAGCTCTCCTATGGGACAGAGTGCCCAGTCTGGCTCTGAGCACCCCCGGAGGCCCCATCAGCTGATTAATTCAACGACTACGCGCAGGGTCAGCCCAGAAAGAGGTGAACAGAGCAGACCAGAAGCTTGGGTTCTAAGGGAAAGACCATCAGTATTAAGTAAAGACACGTGTTGTGCCAGAAGGGCCAGAAGTGGCTCTCCTTACACGTGTAAGAGCAAAGCGAGCCTTCAACCCCAGGAAGACCCAGGACAAGTATTGCGGCTCCTCTCCAGGCACTTGTTCCTGAAGGAGGCCCCGCAGCGCCCCTCTGCCCTTCCCTCAGGGGCCAGACGATGGATGTGGCCGAACCAGGAAGCAGCAGCGGGAGCACAGCCTGTGCTCGGACACAGCAGTGGGCCCTGCACAGGTGCCCGATGACCCCGAGGAAGCCCCCAGCAAAGTGCCAGAGCAGAGACCCAGCCCGCAGTGCCTGCACTCAGGGAGTCCTCCTCCCAGCACAGCACCACCAAGGCCTGCCTCTGCTCCCACCAGAGGACAGACAGCTTCCCCGGGACAGGCCTCGAGCAAGAGAATGAGCTTTAGCTTCTGAAAAAGCCTGTGAAAAAGATCAGTACCAACCAAAGATTACTCAGCCTTAAACAGAACTGACACAGGCTGAAGACGTTACACACAGTGAGGTAACACACAGAAGGACAAACGCTGCTCAGTTCCTCTTACGTGAGGTACTGAGAGCCATCAATACAGACAGACAGAAGGGCCCGGCCAGTGTGGCTCAGTGTTTGTGTGACCTGTGAACCTGAGGTCACGGTTCCATTCCTGGTCAGGGCACATGCCGGAGTGAAGGGAGGCGTGCAGGAGGCAGCTGAACAATGATTCTCTCTCACCACTGCTGCTACCTCTCTGAAATCAATAAAAAACACTTTGTATATTTTTTATAGAAAGAATGGTGCAGCCAGGGGCCGGGGGCTATGTCTGGTGAGTAGTTTGGTCTGGGGGGATAAATGTCCTCAAGGCTCAGCTCCACCAGGGCCTGTGCCAGGCTTACCCTGTTCACAGATCTACCCCAAGTCCTAGGGATGAATGGTGGTGAATGTCCTTAATGCCACTGAACACCTAAAAGCACTTCAAACGGCCTGCTTCGTGTTGTGTGTATTTTAACAAAACAAAAGTAGAAATAAACTCCACCTAATACCCCTTTTCTAGGCATTGCGAACAGGTGAGTCAGGGACGCAGGAACGCTCTGCAGTGGGCGCTGGAAGGTGCTGCCTGGAGTGGGGCCTGGGCTCCTCTTCTCACAGCAGCTGCCCTTCCAGGTTTCCCTACAGCCTCCAGCAGGATCCTGAAGGATACCCCCCTCCCCCATGCCAGGCTGACCCTTTGGTCACAAACCCTGTAGCCACCCGGACGTGACTGTGGCAGTGACTGACTTGGAGGTTGTTCACCAGTGGGAGTGACGGTAGACGCCGGCCAGTGAGGAGCAGCCACCGGGGCCACCACAGAAGCCAAGCGGGTGGCTTCTCCCCTCTCTGACCCCCAGCTGTTAGTGTTCTTCCAGCCATGGAGGCCTGGTGACACCAATAAGGCAATTCCGGGGCCAGGAGCAAGGGTGATGTATGAAAACCTAAGAGGCCAGGGGGGCACATCACGCTCAGGTGCTGAGCCACTAACCTGCCCTCCTCCCCAGGCCAAGATCGCTTTAGCCGTAAAACTGGGAGAAGGGAGGCAGGCACTGGGCCTACATGGATGGCATCTGGGTCTGGGCCGGTCAGAGGGGAGAAAGCCAGCTGGGAAGCTGCTGCTTCTACCGAGTCCTGAACCTGGGATGGGTGGTGTGTGAAGTGAATCTAGCACCAATAAAGATAGCCTCGGTGCAGGCCCAGGCGGTGGGGGCCGGGGCGAGCGGCTGGGCAGAGCAGCCCTGAACTGGGGGAACCCCTCATTTGCATCCCGGGGCGGGGCAGGCTTTCCCTCCTGATTCCAGGCAGAGGCACAGCGGGGGGCTAAGCTAAGAAAGAGCTGGCCAAGTCCGGGACGCCAGTGAGCACACAGATGTGAATCACACCTCAGCCCTGTCATGCCTCCAAAGACTCCTAAGCTGGGGACCATGAGAGATGTAGACAATGAACAACACAGGACATTGAGCCATTTTACCTGGCACACATGCCAACTACCCGGCACAGGCACAGGACGGACTGTGCTAACAGCCTTTCAGCCAAGACCAAGCAAAGACCTGCCCCGGTCCAGCTGCTCTTCTCTGACTGACCCGGAGGCCACTATCAGCACAGGGACTTTTCTGAAAGACAACCCTAACCCTGTTACTTCCTGCAGACAACTCAGTTTAGGGACTTGCCATTTGGCCTTAAGGTAAATTATAAATTCCGTAACAGGGAAGCACTCCAGACCCATTTGCCCCTCCCACCCCCCAGTCCCAGCTCTGGAACAATCTAGTCTGTATGGCAATCTCAGGAATTCCTCATCCCCTCCACCCTCAAGGCTCAGCTCCACCAGGGCCTGTGCCAGGCTTACCCTGTTCACTGATCTACCCCAAGCAGAAAGCCTGGCACACGGAAGACCTCAACCATGTGCTGACTCCAATAGTAAGGAATGCAATTCCTAAAGGGGGCGGGGAAGAAACCTTTCAATCAGGAGTTGGAAGCTCAAGTCCTGGCAATATAAGAAGGCAGCGATCAATACATGTTTTTACTGAAATGTTCCCGTTTCACATGAAACGCATCCATAAAACGGAAGCCCACGTGTCTCCGCACCCACTTAATGAACCGTCCCCAAACTCCTGGTTCCTGAATGCGAAGGCTTGGCCCTGCAGTCAGGAAAGCGAGGTTCTGGATTTGCTCTGCCGGCGACCCGGGGCGGCGTGACCTTGGGCAGCCCGAGCCGGTGCCGGCGGAGCCCCGAACGAAAGCTGGCTGCGGGGATGGGCGCGGAGCTAGAACAAAGGTGCGACTGGGGATGTGGACGGGCGCGGACCCGGATCAGACAAAAGCCACCCACCCCGGCAAACCGGCGGCTGCGGGCTCAGGCGCTCCGGGATCCGAGCGCTCCCTCCCCTCCCACCACGCCGGGTGGCATTCCCCGAGCACCGCATTTCAGGTTCGAGCCTCGGCGAGGGACCCTGACTAACCTTCAGGCACCTGCCCGCAGGCACCCAGGGGGCGGGCCTCCGCCGGAGCAGTCACGGGTTCCACCACCGGCCGGAAGCTGGGGATTCACCAAGCTCAGGCCCCAGCTGGGCGCCCCCACCCCCTTCAAGCCCGGAGGCGGCTCCGCCACGAGGTCCAGGCGGACCCGCAGGCCCACCGCCGTGGGGATCAGCGCGAGCACACAAAGGCGGCGGCGTCAGCGGGGAACAAAAACCTGGCCGGGTCCTCGCCGAGAGGCTCACAGCCCGGCGCCCTGGCCGCCCTGCCCGACTCCCTGGGTGACCTTGGGAGCCTCCCTCCCCCTCAGCCTCAGTTTCCCCGATTGTGCTACTAACCGAGCGCAGCAGGCCGCCGCCGCCCGCCCGAGCAGCCGACACCAGGGCGAGGCCTCCCCACTTCTGCTCAACCCGCCGAGCCGGGTTCGTGCAACCGCGCGGGCGGCGGCGCGGGCGGGAGGACGGGCGGGGAGGCTCCGGGTCCCCAGGAAGGCCCGGCGCCGGGGCCTGAGTGAGGTCGGACGCGCCGAGGCGGCTCCTGGGCCGCGGCTCCAAGGTTTCCGCAGGCCGCGAGGCCGCCCGAACCCCGTACCTGCCCAGCTCTGGCTTGCGGCTTCCTCCCCGCGAGGCCTGTCTGTACTCGGGCTGCTCTGGGCTGGAAGGCGCCCCCGCCGGCGCACTGGAGCTGGGAAGCACCTTCGGAAGAGGCACTCCAGCTAGACGCCACCACCTCAACTGCGACCCACTTCCGCTCCGGAGGCCTGGCTCCGCCCCCCGGCGTTTCTATTGGCTGCCGCCAGCTCAGCTCCCGCTTTTTACGGGTCGAGGCGGTATCCTTTCAATGCTATTGGAAGAGAGAACCGTCTGTTACCGCTTTGAAACGCGGCTTTCCGGCCCGCTCAGTCTCGCGAGCTCCACCTCCCATCCCTCGCGCGAGATACGCGGCCGGCGCCCCTCGCTCGCCCGCAAGGCCTCTCGGGAGTTGTGGTCTTCGGGATGTAACGGCCCGCGGGCGGCGGCGAGCTGGAAGGTCGTGCTTGCGGCTCTTTCGCGCGCTGATGCCCGACCTAAGCCGCCCTCTCCCGGCCTCGTTTCCTCCCCTATTGGTGAGGCCTCTGTGAACTACGTTCCCGAGGGGATCTGAGCCTGGGTCCGCAGTCCCTCCAGGGCGCCCTGGGCCGGAGTCTGTCCCGGTGGCGCTAGGCTCTCCCAGGCTGGAGGCTGAGGGCAGAGAGCAGCCCGGCCCAGCCCACCTGCGGAACCGGAGGAGCCACCCGACCAGGACTTCGGGAGCGCCAGGAAGCGGCGGCCCTTCTTCCGCTGCAGGCTCGAGCTGCTACCCAGCTCCTGGATTAGGCGTGCCCTGAAGTCCACCCTACCTTTGGAGTGCCAGTTCTGGGAGCTAATAATTCGCCTTTTGAATCTCTCGGATCTCCTGAGGGACTCTCTGGACAGGTCATCAGCAATATATGCCCTTGATGTCAAATGAAATGAGTTCGAGACAACACATAAGAAATGTCATGCTTATTTCTCTCTAAATGAAATTTAGCCGTAGCCGGTTTGGCTCAGTGGTAGAGCGTCGGTCTGTGGACTGAAAGGTCCCGGGTTCGATTCCTGTCAAGGGCACATACCTTGATTGCAGGTGCCCTTCCCTATCAGGGCCATGGTCAGGGCTCATGTAGGAGGCAACCAATTGATGTGTTTCCTGCATATCGATATTTCTGTCTTTCCTTCTTTCACTCTCTAAAAATCAATGGAAAAATATCCTCAGCTCAGGTGAGGATTTAAAAACAAAACAAAACACATCAGTGATGAGAATCATCGATCGATCGGCTGCCTCCTGCACACCTCCTCCTGGGAATACAGCCCACAACCTGGGCATGTGCCCTGACCTGGAATCCAACCATGACCACCTTTAACCACTGAGCCACACACTGGCATGGCTCCCAGCTCTAATTTGACAGGGAGGTGGGAAATTCCTCTCTTTGCCAGCCTCAGTTGTGGGCAAGTCCTGAGGTTCTAATGCAGTTCAGAATGCTGGGGGAGAACTGTTTTGCTCTTGTCACTTCGAGTGACCTGCCTTCCTGACCCCAATGTCCTGGGGTCCAGTGTCCCCCTCTGAGGGGTCATCTTCTCTGCAGACCCAGGCAGGGTGCGGGGTTGGGGTCTCTCTCCTGGACATCTGCCTACCTGGCAGTCTCCAGCCCCGCCCCGGGGGCTTGCCCACAGACGCCTTCCTGGGAGCAGCAGCACAGCCAGCCCGTTCCCAAGGCCACCCCTCGCCAGCCTGGTGCTGGGACCCAGGACCCAGGAGAACGAACCAGTCCCTGTCTCCGGCAGGCGGGTGCCAGCGGCTCAGCCTGCGCTCTGGGTGACCCTGAGGGGATGGGCAGTGCGCCCACTGAGTAGGGATGGGGGACAAGCCCGCCTCCAGCCCACGCCCCGTCGCTGTGAGGTTTCCAGGAGAAGAGGCATGAGAGAGGCCGGTTCCCAATGGCTCAAGAGTCCTGGCCGCTTCTCCGACCAAACACACCCGCACACCCAGGCTTGGGGTCCCCGGGTTAAGCCTCTGAGCCCTGGACACAGTGCAGGTTGCAGGTTGCTACGTGCAGGGGGTTCTGGCGCTGGCAGCCGGGGAGCAGGGGCTTGTTTAGCACATGAATACGGGCGGGTTGATCTGGCTCCAAATAAAGCGCGGGCACTGCTTTGGCATCAGGCGGTCTCCATCCGCAGCACCACCCTGGGCAGGTGGAGCTCGGGGCAGGCGGCGGGGCGGGCGGTGGGGGCGGCCGAGCGAGAGGAGGCGCACAGGCGGGTGGCACGCTTTATTACCGGGGTTCTCGGGCCCAGGACGTGCTGGCCCCGCTCAGGCGACGCCGGGATCTCGTTCAGGCGGCCTCCAGGTGGCTCTCGGGCCCACAGGCCGAGCCCTCCTGCTGCAGCGCCCGCAGCCTGCGCTCCAGGCTCTGCTCCAGCTTCAGCCAGTGCTGCGCCTCCAGCTGCGCCTGACGCCACGGGAGGGGGAAGGTGGGCGCGGGCAGGAGGCTCCCCGCGCCCCGGCCCCCAGCTCCGATCCCGGGCTCACCCGCCGCTTGGGGTACGAGGCCCGCGAGGCCGGCACGGTGGGCTGGGCCGCCTGCCTGCGGTGCTCGGCCACCTCCTGGATCCGGCGCTGCAGCTCCCGCACGCGCTCGTCCGCCAGAGCCGCCTCCTGCACCCTGGGCCTGCAACGGGGCGGCTTAGAGGGCCCTGCCCGCCGCCGTGGAGTGGTGGGCGGGCGGGGGAGGCCCTGCCAGGCCCCTCGGGCGGGGCCTCCGGGCCTCTAGCTCTCTGCTCTCTGACACGTTGGGAAAGCATCCGTGTGCGTGAGCCATGTGCATTTGGGGTGAAGCAGGAAAAGCTCCCTTTTACCCTCCCGCCACCCCCTTGCCTAGAAGCAGCCCCTAGGACGTGGTGCCTCTTTGCAAACCCTCCCCACCATTTAGGCCATTTCCTCCGGAAGGACACACCTACAGGGGCTGCCGCCCTCCCTTCCAGGGCACATCACAGCCCCAGTCTGGCAGGAGCGGTTCCCTCAGCCCCCTGCAGCCCTACTGCCCTCTAAAACGCCCCTAACGTCCAGCGTCGTCCTATGAACCAGGAGGTCAGGGTTTGATTCCCAGCACAGGCCAGGGTTTGGGCTCCATCCCCAGTGTGGGGCGTGCAGGAGGCAGCTGATCCATGGTTCTCGCTCATAATTGATGTCTCTCGCTCCCTCTCCCTCTCTGATATCAATAAAAGTATCTTTAAGAGTAAGTAAATACCGGGCCTAGTAATAATTAATGTCGTTTTAAAACATTCGTTTAAAATCTTGCTTGGCTTGACTTGTATTGACATAACCTTCAAACACGTGGTATCTACAGAACGTGTGAAGTGCAATTAACAAGTTTTGCTTGAAAAAGTTTGTGTTTGGTTTGGTTTTTGTTGCAAAACTAGGGCTAAGAAGATGGCGGATGAAGAGCATATTCGGCACTGCATGCTTTACGAGTTCCAATTAGGAAGAAAAGCAAGTGAGGCTGCAAAAAACATCTGTAGTGCTCTTGGTCAAGATGCAGTTAGCGCCAGAAAATGCCAGCGTTGGTTTGAGAAATTTCGTGAGGGAAATTTTTCGTTAGATGACAAGAGTGGTCGAGGCTGTGTGTCTAATTTTGATCAAGAAGCTCTTCAAGCTCTTTTGGTGCAAAATCCTCAAATTACCCAACAAGAGCTTGCGACAACTTTAAATTGTTCACAAAAAACAATTTCCAATCAATTGCGTGCACTTGGCAAAGTCCAAAAGTTTGGAAAATGGGTTCCTCATGAGTTGACCGACAACAACCGTAATCAAAGAGTCACAATTTGCAGTTCGCTCCTCTCTCGTCAAAACCGTTTGCCGTTTTTAGAGCAAACTGTTACCAGAGATTAACAATGGGTGCTGTGTGTTAATTTGAAAAGGCGGCGTCAATGGTTGGACAAAAATGAGGCTCCGCAGCCCACGCCAAAACCTGACTTGCATGCGAAAAAAGTGATGTTGTGTGTTTGGTGGAATTTTAAAGAAATTCTTCATTATGAACTTTTACCATCTAACCACACCATTACAAGTGCAGTGTATAGTGCCCAATTGGAAAGGTTAGCCCAAGCTTTAAGAGAAAAAGAACGCGCGCTGATTAATTGGAAGGGTGTAATTCTTCACCACGATAACGCACGACCGCATACTGCAAGAATCACTGCTGAAAAACTGCGCCAGTGGGAATGGGAAGTTCTCCCTCAACCTGCATATTCTCCTGATATTGCCCCTTCCGATTACCATTTGTTTCGTTCTTTGCAAAACTTTCTTCTTGGAAAAAAATTTAATAATGAAGAATGCCTCAAAAATGCATTGACCGAATTTTTTGCATCAAAATCACAAGAATTTTACAACAGAGGGATTAAAATGTTTCCTGAGCATTGGGCACAAGTAGTAGAAAACAACGGCAACTATATTGTTGATTAAATTTGGTTGTATTGTTTAAATAAATTCAATTTAAAAAAGTATTAGAAAACGACATTAATTATTACTAGACCTAATAAATAAATAAATGGCACCTGACGAACTAATGCCACGGGGCTGGCGCCACACAGGCGGGGTCGGTCAGGGCGGACCACAGGGCTGTCCCCGGCGTCCTCTGAATCATAACCGGGGCAGCAGACACGCAGGCCACAGCACTGGGTCTGCGCTGTCCATCCTTCTGTCCACCCCACCCTGTGGCTCTCAGACACCTCCGGGGGGGCGGGGGGAGCTGTGTGTGCCAGCCCCTGAGCCAGCTGTGCTGATATCACCAGGTGCCGCCTCCCTCTGGCAGCCTCGCCTCTCCTGACCAATGCCGTGGACAGTCACGCCACGTGGAGTTGGAAAAGTCACCACAGGGTTCCCCAAACAAACAAAAGGGGGTCCTGCACCTGCTCCGGGGAGAGGGGCGAGGGGCGAGGGGAGCAGGACGCTCCAGGCCCATGCTGTGTGGTGTTTCAAAGGGAAAAAGTTCCAGCAAACAAGCTCAGGACCCCGACGGGTACCAACTGGACATGAGACGCCCGGGAGGGGGGCGGGCACCCTGTGAGCCGTCCTGTCCTGGCTGTGCCCGGGGCTGCGCTCTGCAGGACAGCGGCTCTTTTGCAGAAGATGCCACCGAAGTGCTCAGGGACAAAGTGTCAGACGGCTCCGCAGAGGAGGGTGGAGAGCCGGCTGCCTGCTGGCTGGGGCCCTTGGCACAGGTCAGACCGTGACCCAGATGCACAAGGACCGGATCTAGGTCATGGGCTGGCACCATCACCGGTAATTTCCTCACCTTCTCTGCACCCTGAGGTCGGCTGATAAACAGCAGGGGCGGAGGCACTGGGGGAGGGTGGGGGCGGCGGGGGGGGGGGCGCGCACCCACCTCAGGGCCGCAGCCCGGCCCATGGCCGCGCGGCACAGCGCGATCCGCTCCAGCGCCGCCTGCAGCTCCTGGCTCCGGGCGCGCTTGCCCTGGATGATCTGGTCTCGCTTCTCCTCCTCCTGGCGCTGCTGGGCCTCCTTGAGCAGGGCCAGCCGCTCCCGCAACTCCACGACCGACATCTCCCCTTCCAGGCCGTGCCCCGGGATCTGGGGGGGAGGGGAGGGGCCCCCAAAGTGCCAGAGCCTGCTCTGCTTCTCCCGGTGCCCTGCCCGCCTCCCAGGGCCCAGCCCCCGAGCCCCCCCCCCCCCCCCCCGCCCTCTGCCCCGTGGAGTCTGTGGCAATGTCCGCCCTCCGGAGGCCTCTCCAGCCCGGCCCTCCGCAGCTCATCTCAGCCCTGGAGCTCACCAGTCCGCCCTGCGGGCCCGCCCCGCCGCCCTCCTCTCCGCGCCAGCCTGGCCTGCAGCGGAGCTTTGCACACAGGCTCCCGCCTGCCAGGTCCGGCTCTGTGCCTGCCTCTCCCTGCACCACCCTCCCGCCTGGGCAGTCCTGGGCTCCCTGTGCCCCCCGGAGCCCTGGCCCGTCCTCAGGTGCCCCAGGACCGTGCCTCTTTCCCAGCCCCAGGCCTCCAGCGCGGCGGAGCGGGGTCCGCCCTCCACGGCAGCGCCAGGCTCAGTGAGCCCCGGAGTCCGGGCTGCGCACCCACCTGGGTCAGGTCCACCAGCTTGCCCTTGCGCGTGGGCTGCGTCTCCATGGCCCGCAGGTGGGCGATGAGCTCACAGCGCCGCCGCTGCTCCTCCCGGGCCGCCTCAGAGCGCTGCCGGAGCAGGGCCTGCGTCTCCGCGGTCAGCTCCTGGGCTTGGGGTGGCGGCTGCTCAGGGCCCGCAGCCGGCGGCCTCCCCCCTCAGGGCCTCCCCCTCAGGGCCTCCCCCTCAGGGCCTCCCCCCTCAGGACCTCCCCCTCAGGGCCTCCCCCTCAGGGCCTCCCCCCTCAGAACCTCCCCCCTCAGGGCCTCCCCCCTCAGGGCCCGCAGCCGGCCGGCCTCCCTCCTCAGGGCCTCCCCCTCAGGGCCCCCCCCTCAGAACCTCCCCCCTCAGGGCCTCCCCCTCATGGCCTCCCCCTCAAAACCTCCCCCCTCAGGGCCTCCCTCCTCATGGCCTCCCCCCTCAGGGCCTCCCCCCTCAGAACCTCCCCCCAGGGCCTCCCCCCTCAGGGCCTCCCCCTCAGGGCCTCCCCCTCAAAACCTCCCTCCTCAGGGCCTCCCCCTCAGGGCCTCCCCCTCAGGGCCTCCCCCCTCAGGGCCTCCCTCCTCAGGGCCTCCTCCTCATGGCCTCCCCCCTCAAAACCTCCCCCCTCAGGGCCTCCCCCCTCAGGGCCTCCCCCCTCAGGGCCCGCAGCCGGCCGGCCTCCCTCCTCAGGGCCTCCCCCCTCAGGGCCTCCCTCCAGGGCCTCCCCCCAGGGCCTCCCCCCTCAGAACCTCCCCCCTCAGGGCCTCCCTCCTCAGGGCCTCCCCCCTCAGGGCCTCCCCCCTCAGAACCTCCCTCCTCAGAACCTCCCCCCTCAGAACCTCCCCCCTCAGAACCTCCCCCCTCAGAACCTCCCCCCTCAGGGCCTCCCCCTCAGGGCCTCCCCCCTCGGGGCCTCCCCCCTCAGAACCTCCCTCCTCAGGGCCTCCCCTCAGAACCTCCCTCCTCAGAACCTCCCCCCTCAGAACCTCCCCACTCAGGGCCTCCCTCCTCAGGGCCTCCCCCCTCAGGGCCTCCCCCTCAGGGCCTCCCCCTCAGGGCCTCTCCCCTCAGAACCTCCCCCCTCAGGGCCTCCCCCTCAGGGCCTCCCCCCTCAAAACCTCCCTCCTCAGGGCCTCCCCCTCAGGGCCTCACTCCTCAAAACCTCCCTCCTCAGGGCCTCCCCCTCAGGGCCTCCCTCCTCAGGGCCTCCCCCCAGGGCCTCCCTCCTCAGGGCCTCACTCCTCAAAACCTCCCTCCTCAGGGCCTCCCCCTCAGGGCCTCCCTCCTCAAAACCTCCCTCCTCAGGGCCTCCCCCTCAGGGCCTCCCCACTCAGAACCTCCCCCCAGGGCCTCCCTCCTCAGGGCCTCACTCCTCAGGGCCTCCCCCCAGGGCCTCCCCCCTCAGGGCCTCCCTCCTCAGGGCCTCCCTCCTCAGGGCCTCCCCCCAGGGCCTCCCCCCTCAGGGCCTCCCCCTCAGGGCCTCCCCCCTCAGGGCCTCCCTCCTCAGGGCCTCCCCCCTCAGAACCTCCCCCCTCAGGGCCTCCCCCCTCAGAACCTCCCCCCTCAGGGCCTCCCCCCTCAGGGCCTCCCCCCTCAGGGCCTCCCCCCTCAGAACCTCCCCCCTCAGGGCCTCCCCCCTCAGGGCTTCCCCCCTCAGAACCTCCCCCCTCAGGGCCTCCCTCCTCAGAACCTCCCCCCTCAGGGCCTCCCCCCTCAGGGCCTCCCCCCTCAGAGCCCCCCCCCTCAGGGCCTCCCCCCTCAGAACCTCCCCCCTCAGGGCCTCCCCCCTCAGGGCCTCCCCCCTCAGGGCTTCCCCCCTCAGAACCTCCCCCCTCAGGGCCTCCCCCCTCAGGGCCTCCCCCCTCAGGGCTTCCCCCCTCAGAACCTCCCCCCTCAGGGCCTCCCTCCTCAGAACCTCCCCCCTCAGGGCCTCCCCCCTCAGAACCTCCCCCCTCAGGGCCTCCCTCCTCAGGGCCTCCCTCCTCAGGGCCTCCCCCCTCAGGGCCTCTCCCCTCAGAACCTCCCTCCTCAGAACCTCCCCCCTCAGGGCCTCTCCCCTCAGAACCTCCCCCCTCAGGGCCTCCCCCCTCAGGGCCTCCCCCTTCAGGGCCCCCAGCAGCTGGGTCGGGCTCCCTTGGGGACCCTGGCCCTCGCTGACCAACACCCAGGCCGGCCTACCTGCCTGGCGCCGGTCCCGCAGCAGCTTGGTCTGTGCGGCCTTGATGTTCTTCTGGTCCTCCACCGCCTGCTCCACCCGCTCCTTCGCACTCCGCTCCTCCTGCAGGCGCCGCTGCGCCCGGCGCTGCATCAGCTCCACCATCTGTGGGGACAGGCTCCTCAGAGCCCAGCCACCGCGTCCCAGCCCCTGCCCACCACGTCCCAGCGCCCGACCCAGCCCTGCCCACCGCGTCCCAGCCCCTGCCCACCGCATCCCAGCGCCCCTCACACCCAGCCCTGCCCACCGCGTCCCAGCGCCCAACCCAGCCCTGCCCACCGCGTCCCAGCGCCCGACCCAGCCCTGCCCACCGCGTCCCAGCCCCTGCCCACCGCGTCCCAGCCCCTGCCCACCACGTCCCAGCGCCCAACCCAGCCCTGCCCACCGCGTCCCAGCCCCTGCCCACTGCGTCCCAGCACCCCTCACAGCCCCTGCCCACCGCGTCCCAGCGCCCAACCCAGCCCTGCCCACCGCGTCCCAGCCCCTGCCCACCGCGTCCCAGCCCCTGCCCACCACGTCCCAGCCCTGCCCACCGCGTCCCAGCGCCCAACCCAGCCCTGCCCACCGCGTCCCAGCGCCCAACCCAGCCCTGCCCACCGCGTCCCAGCGCCCAACCCAGCCCTGCCCACCGCGTCCCAGCGCCCAACCCAGCCCAGCCCATCGCGTCCCAGCCCTGCCCACCACATCCCAGCGCCCAACCCAGCCCTGCCCACCGCGTCCCAGCCCCTGCCCACCGCATCCCAGCGCCCCTCACAGCCCCTGCCACCACGTCCCGGCCCTGCCTACCGCGTCCCAGCCCTGAAGCAGCGCAAGGTCTGTTTGTGGGGACAGGCCAGAGGCTGAGGGGGGACAGGCCGGGGCTGAGCAGGGACTGGGAGAAGTGACCAGGGCCAGCTGCGAGCCCATGGCCGCAGGAGCAGCCGGGCGGCGGCCAGGGGCGCCCTCACCTCCTCCTTCTTCTGGGCCGCCCGGCGCTGGTTGTGCTGCAGCAGCTGCTGCCGGGCCAGTGCGGCCTCTTCGCGGCTGAGCTTCCCCTGCAGCCGCCGGCACGCGTCCGCCGCCCGCTGCTCCGCCCGGTCCCTCGCCTGCATCTTCTGCTGCCACTCGAGGAACTCGGAGAAGTCCCCGGCCCCGTCCATGAGCCTGTCCACCCTGCGCAGGGGCGGCGGACGAGGTTCCCGTGGACACCGGCCCTCACCAGCAGCCACGCCACCCGCCCCACTGGCCCCTGTCCCCTGGCACCGCCCTGCACCCACATCTTCCCACCCCCTTCCTCTCCTCTCCCCTCCCGGCACCATCCCTCTGCCCACCGGCTGTCTCTCTCCCGCTCCCACCCGCAGCCCTGCTTCTGGGGCACCAGCGGGGCTGGTGCTGGCGGTTGGGGACGGGCACTCCCGAGAGGGGCGGGCAGGCAGTGACCCTGAGGCCAGTCCGGGCTGGGCCGCTGCCTCCTGAGCCCGCTGCACACAGAGCATCTCCCTCACTGAGCCAAGTGGTCTTTCCAGGGAGCATCTGTGACCCCGACACCAGCCTGCTGCCCCCCCACCTGCCCTCCCCCTTCTGCCCCACCTCTGCAGCTCTTTCTCCACCTGCCGCTGGTACAGGGCCCCTTCCCGCAGGATGGCCGTGGTGTTCAGCTTCACTGGGACCTCATTGGGCTGCGGGCGGAGCGGAGGGGAACGGGGGACGGGGGTGGGGGGCGCAGACACGCTGAGATGAGGTGCCAGGGCCCCGCCCTCCCGCCCCCACCTCTGCCCCCACCCAAGGACTTCCCCCTGTGGGGAGGGGAGGGCTGTGCTCAGGGCTCTGCTTGGCCCTCTGGCCCCAGGAGGCAGAACAGGCGAGAGGTGGGGGCTCAGGGGCCCCCACACCCACCCACCGGCCAGGAGCACCCCTCACCGGGTAGAAGGTCAGCTTCGGAGTCTGGTCAATCTGGTCCGCATACGGTAGCCGCAGCTTCTTGAGGCACTGTGGGCAGCAGGCGGCCCCCGAGTCCGCAGGAGCCCCCTCCCCCCGCCCCCAGCACTCTGGCGGCCTGCCCTGCACACCAGCTCCCGAACCCGGGGCAGCACCTCTGTCCTGCAGGGCGCCCCCCTGTGGGGCTCTGGGGAGGGGCAGGGCCTGCTGGCCGGATGGGGCGGTAAGAGGCTCGGCCTCCCACCCGGTCCCTCCCAGCGGCCGGGGCTGCCCCACAGCCTGTGCCGTGGGCACCACCAGCCAGGGCGGCCCCGTGGGAACTCAGCGTCACCCCTGTGGGCATGCTGCCTGCCTACCCCCACCTGCCCCGGCTGCAGGGGGTCCGGGGGGGGGGCAGGGCCGGCCACGCCCGCCGTGTCCTGCCCTTGAAGCTCTCCTGAGGGAGGGGAGGACGTGGAGGGTGGGAGCCAGGCATCACCCGCCAGAGGGTCCGGCGGCTCAGGACCCGGCTCCGGGCCTCACTGGTCGGGCCTAGGCCTGGGAAGGGCCCTGAGGGCGGGCGGGGGGTCACCTGCCGAGGGGGCTGGCCGCGGGCCCAGGGCATGGCACAGCGCATCTCCTCCAGGTTCGCCTTCAGCAGCAGCTCCTGGGGGGCCAACGGGCGGCTCAGCCCCACGGCGCCCGCCCTGCGTATGGCCCAGGGGACGAAAGTGCGGAACCGGCTCCCTCCTCCCCTCCTCCCCTTCCTCCTCTTCCTCCTCCTGCTCCTTCTCATGCTCTCTCTCTCCCCTTCCTCCTCCTCCTCCTCCTTCTCCTGCTCTCTCTCCTCTTCCTCCTCCTCCTCCTGCTCCTTCTCATGCTCTCTCTCTCCCCTTCCTCCTCCTTCTCCTCCTTCTCCTGCTCTCTCTCCTCTTCCTCCTCCTCCTCCTGCTCCTTCTCATGCTCTCTCTCTCCCCTTCCTCCTCCTCCTCCTCCTCCTGCTCTCTCTCCTCTTCCTCCTCCTCCTGCTCCTTCTCATGCTCTCTCTCTCCTCTTCCTCCTCCTCCTCCTCCTTCTCCTGCTCCTGCTCTCTCTCCCCTTCCTCCTTTTCCTCCTCCTTCTCCTCCTCCTGCTCTCTCTCCCCTTCCTCCTTCTCTTCCTCCTCTTCCTCCCCCTCCTCCTCCTCCTCCTCCTCCTCTCTGCCTCTCCGGGAAGATTGGGGTCCCCCGTGGTGGCTCACCTCCGCCTTCCGGCGATTTAAGCTCCTGGTCATTTCCAGCACCTGCGGCTCCCTGGGTAACTGGTAGGTGCTCCTGGGGACCTGGTGGTTGGGGGGGAGATGGGCGGGGCCCCGGGTGGTGGGCGAGGGTGGGCTGTGGTCCCGACCAGGGAGCTACGGCCGTCATCCTGGGAGGGGAGGCCCGGCAACAGCGGGAAGGAAGGCGGCCCGGGCCCTGGACCCGGAGGGACAGGCCGAGGACCTGACGGGGGTGGAGGCGAGGCCAGGCGTGTCCCGGCTCCCGGAGCTGCTGGCGAAGGGCAGGGGCCCAGTCCCCTCCCTGAGCACGGCCCTCCCCTTCCTCCCCTCCCCTGCCCCCCCCCCCAAGAGCAGTGCAGCCCAAGGCCCGCAAAGGGACCCTTAGACCATTCCGGCCCACAGGGCCTCGGGATCCTCCTCGTTGCCCCCCAGCACCGTCTCCAACCCCATCGCCAAAGCAGTCCGGATGCCTCAGGACTCCAGCCACCACCGCTCCCCCTCTCCTTGGCCGCTGCAGCCACATGGACGAGGTGGGGTGGGTGCCTGCCTCAGGGTGTGTCCTGGCTGCCCAGTGCCTCCCCAGCCGCTCCCTCCTTCCCCTCCCCCCTCCGGCCTCTGCGTGTGGGGGGCGGCACCGCCCCAGGGCCTCGGTCTGCGCTGACGCCTTCTGCAGTGCTCTTCCCTGGACAGCCTGCCCACTGCCCACTGTCTTCCCCCCATGGTGTCTCATCTCGGGAGGCGTGTCCTGGCAGCTCCTCCCCGGCTTCTCTCCCCTGCCCCTGCGAGGCCTTCCCGAGGCACTCCCCCAGCTGACTGGTCCTCCCCTCCCCGAGGGGACGCTCCATGAAGGCAGGGCCTGGCACACGCGAGGCTGAGTGAGCGGTGAGTGAACTGGAGCGGGCCCTCTCCCAGGAGGCGGAGAGGGTCCTGGGCATGGGGCAGGGCAGGGAGGCTGGGGGGAGGTGAGACTGTGGCTTCAGCACAGCCACCACGGACCTCAGCGGGGAGGGCTGGCCACCAGCATCCCACAGTCCAGGCTGAGAGGCACACACACAATTGAGAGTCGGGGGGGGGGGGGCATGGTGGAGGGCAGGCAGGGGCCAGGCAGAGTGGGAGAGATGCAGCTGGAAGATGACCAGAGACAAACACACTGAGCCTGGGGATCGGGGGCCAGACATTGAGGGTCCTACCCACAGGGTAACCATGGGCTTGCTCAGCAACAGACCCCTGACCATCTGTCCACCCACCAACCCATCATCCATCATCCATCTTTCATCATCCATCATCCATCATCCATCATCCAACCATCCATCATCCATGCATCCATCCATCACCATTATCCATCACCCATCCACCATCCATCCTTCTATCATCCATCATTCATCCATCCACCCATCCATCCATCCATCATCCATCCATCCATCCATCCATCCATCATCCATACATCCATCCATCCATCATCCATGCATCCATTCATCACCCATTATTCATCATCCATCCACCATCCATCCTTCTATCATTCATCATTCATCCATCCATCCACTCATCCATCCATCCATCCATCCATCCATTCAATCATCCATTTATCCATTCATCCATCCATTCATCCATCCAATCATCCATTTATCCATCCATCCATCCATCCATCCATCCACTCATCTATCTATCCATCCATCCACCATTGAATGCCTGTGTTCTAGTCTGAGTCAGTACTCACCCAGCCCCCACTGGCCTACAAGGCCCACTCTCCCACTTGCAAATGGCTGGCTGGCACTTACTGGTCTTGGCTTAGCCATGACAGGGACAGGCTCAGGCACTGGAAGGCCCCGGGGCCTGGGAACAGTCAGGTTGAACTTCTTGGGCTCCGTGGCCTTGGCCTTTGAAGAAGGGGGCTGAACGGTCGCCGCCCTCTCCAGCTGGTTGATGAGCCCCTGGACCTCCGGCTGCCATCTTGAAGGAAAGGTGAGAAAGGCTGCTGGTTTCCTCCTGAGCAGCCGGCAGTGGGGCCCTCGAGACCTGAAGGCCCCCAAGAGCTTGGCTCGGCCTCAGCGTGGGGATGACAGCGGAAGCCCAGCCACTCCTCACTGAGTGCCTACAGCTGGGCAGGTGCCGCCTACCCACAGCGAGTCTTTAGAGCAGTATGCTCTGGGACAGATTAGGAAACTGAGGCCTGTTTCATCCCTGTCCTAGGGAAGTGGGGAGCTGGGAGGATGGGAGTGGAGAGCTGGGAGGACAGGGAGCTGGGAGGACGGGGAGTGAGGAGCTGGGAGGAAGGAGAGCGGGGAGCTGGGAGGACGGGGAGGGGGAGCTGGGAGGACGAGGAGTGGGGAGCTGGGAGGATGGGAGTAGGGAGCTGGGAAGACAGGGAGTGGAGAGCTGGGAGAACCGGGAGCTGGGAGGATGGGGAGCTGGGAGGACGGGGAGCAGGGAGCTGGGAGGATGGGGAGTGGAGAGCTGGGAGGATGGGGAGCTGGGAGGACAGGGAGCAGGGAGCTGGGAGGATGGGGAGTGGGGAGCTGGGAGGACGGGGAGCGGGGAGCTGGGAGGATAGGGAGTGGAGAGCTGGGAGAACGGGGAGCTGGGAGGACGGGGAACTGGGAGGACAGGGAGTGGGGAGCTGGAAGGACGGGGAGTGGGGAGCTGGGAGGACGGGGATTGGGGAGCTGGGAGGACAGGGAGCAGGGAGCTGGGAGGACTGGGAGCTGGGAGGACGGAGAGTGGAGAGCTGGGAGGATGGGGAGCTGGGAGGATGGGGAGTGGGGAGCTGGGAGGATGGGGAGTGGGGAGCTGGGAGGACGGGGAGCGGGGAGCTGGGAGGACAGGGAGTGGGGAGCTGGGAGGACGGGGAGTGGAGAGCTGGGAGGACGGGGAGCAGGGAGCTGGGAGGATGGGGAGCTGGGAGGACGGGGAGTGGAGAGCTGGGAGAATCGGGAGCTGGGAGGACGGGGAGTGGGGAGCTGGGAGGACGGGGAGTGGGGAGCTGGGAGGATGGGGAGCAGGGAGCTGGGAGGACGGAGAGTGGAGAGCTGGGAGGATGGGGAGCTGGGAGGACTGGGAGCTGGGAGGATGGGGAGCGGGGAGCTGGGAGGACGGGGAGTGGGGAGCTGGGAGGACGGGGAGCGGGGAGCTGGGAGGATAGGGAGTGGAGAGCTGGGAGAACGGGGAGCTGGGAGGACGGGGAGCTGGAAGGACGGGGAGCGGGGAGCTGGGAGGATAGGGAGTGAGCAGTCCCCGCTGCTGGAATCCAGGGCCTCTGAGGATGAGCCGCAGTTGGAACAGGAGCTACTCTGGGCTGGAGGAGGTGGCAGGGGCAGGAAGCCCAGGTGGGGTGCCCTGGAGCAGGGGTTTGAGAAGGTCCCCCTTTCATGCCCCTCCCCCAATGCAGGCACAGCCACCATCGCCCCCCTGGCTGGTCTGCCCTCCTGGGGGCTCCTAATCCCCCACTTCCCCCAGCAGGCTACGAGAGGGAGGGAGTCACGTCCGAGGCTGGCAGGTGGGCGGGGACAGGTGTGTGATGGACAGGTGTGTGACACTGGTCCCGGGAGGGCAGGGGAAGGTTACACATGGGGTGGTTGGGGGAGGCGGGCAACCTAGAAATAGCTGGGCAGCTGTCAGATGTGGCTCTCAGGGCCCGGCAGATCCAGCCACAGGCGAGAGCCCCGAGGGTGGGCATGGCGTCCAGCACGGCTGGCACTGAGGACTGCCCTGCCCGGGGCCGCCTGCCCTGGACCAGGCCTCCCACACACGCTGACCCGCATGGTCCGCCTGCCGCAGGAGGGTAAGGTGGCTCCCTCCGGTTGGAGGGTGAGCAGCGGGGGCAGCCCCACCCAGGCCCCAGCAGCTGCCCCGCGGAGGCCCAGGGCAGGGCCAGGTCACCATGTGGCCCTTCTGCCCGCACCAGGGACTCTAGAAGGCAGCGGTGGCTGTGGGGCGGCGGGCCCAGCAGGGGTGCCCTGGGGGCGCCAGACCGAGATGTGGGCCAGAACCCACTGGGAGCTCCCCACCCCACCAGGCCCAGAGTTGGTGGGAAGAGGCCGGGCAGGCCTGGAGCCCACGGGTCCCTGCAGGTCCGAACCTCCTCACCACCCCCCAGGACCCCCAGGTCGTGGGCGTGGGCGCGGCCCCGCCCACCTCAGCAGGCGGGCCGTCCAGGTCTGCACCAGCTCCTTCTCATAGAGGAGGCTCCACTCGTCCGGCACCCACGAGGTCAGGTTCGAGGGGTTGAAGAAGAAGGCGAGGAACTGACGGAGGAGGGGGAGGTGGGGCTTGGCCAGCACCCACACCTGGCGCCCCTCCCGGGGGGAGAGTTGGTGCCTGGGGGCGGGTGGGGCTCAGCACCAGGACAGGAGACCAGCGTGCCCGCCGGGCAGGGGGCCCCTTGGACAGACCGCCCTCCCCCGCCCTCACACGGGCTGGGGCGCCCACTGTGGGGGGCTGCCCTCACCAGACGGCTTTTGCTTACAGGGTCAGCCTGGCTGGAGGTGGGCTCACTGGGGGGCCCGTGCCCCAGCCACTCTCTAGATTAGGGGTGTCGAACTCAATCAGAGAAGGGGCCAAAATCTAAAATCCAGCCTAAATTGCGGGCCGAATGGTTTACTGAACAGTCATAAACTGTCATTGTGATGGAAACGCAGCTGAGTGCAGTGATGACAGCGCGGTGCGGGCCACATTGCAAGGCCTGGCGGGACGGATTTGGCCTGCGGGCCTTGTGTTTGACACATGTGCTCTAGATCCTGGAGGGAGGCCTGCGCCCCACTTCCAGGGAGTTCTTGGGACTGCCTGCCTCCCCAGCCCTCCACGGGCTCTGGAATCCACACGTGGATTCCATTCAGCAGACTGCCCCCCTCCCCACCAGGCAGGGCCGGTGGGAGGGTCCTGGGAGGCCGCCTGTCCCCCCAGCCCTTGCTGGGGAGACTGTGTGGCCTGGGGGAGGCCCAGGACAGCCTCGGCTTCTGAGAGCCGTTCCCAGCTCCCACCCTCGGGCTGACCCTTGGTTTCAGAAGACACGGGACCCAGTAAGCTTCCCGGGGGCGGCTGCCACCTGGGCAGGGTGGGGGGTGTCCGAGGGGGGGCAGCTGGAGGCAGAGACCAACCGGCTGGCTGTGCCCCACCAGGCTGCCCTCTGCACCGCGGGGCGACGCACAGACCCCTTGTCAGGACACAGGACGAACGGGCAGCCGCTCTCGGCGAGAGCCGGGCAGGTGCGGGCGGCCGGGGGGGACAGGCCTGCCGGGCCGCGGCGGGCAGCTCACCTTGCGCATCTTGTCGGCTGGCTGGGACCGGACGATGCTGCTGAAGCGCTGGAAGCCGAGCTCCTGGAGCTGGAACGTGGCCAGGTAGCAGGTCACTGGGGAGACAGGGCGGCGCTGGGGGGTGCCGAGAGCGGGGCTGGGGTTTGACCTTGGGGAGTCGGCCAGAGCTCCGCCGGGGCGCCAGGTGCGTAGCCAGAGCTCCGAGAGGCCCCGGGCAGAAGCTGTGACCGGACACAGGGGTGCGCGGACCCCACTCACCCAGGAAGCGGTTGTAGTCGGCCCACAGGCAGAGCCGGCCGTCCTGGGCGTAGAAGGCTTCCACCACCACGGCCAGCGGCTGCCAGTACTCCAGGCAGCCCGACAGCACCTCCAGCACGAAGGCCTGCTTCGCGAAGCTCAGGGCCTGCGGGGGGCACAGGCTGGGCGGCCGCGGACGGGGAGCAGGGGGGGGTGGGGGAATGGGACCCCTGGGTCCTGGGTCTCCATGGCAGGTGGAGCGAGAACAGAAATAACCACGGAGGACCACCAGGCGTTAGGAGGCAGGCCGGCCCTGTAATCCCACCCACCTGGGCCGGCCCTGCCTTCCTCCTAATGCTTTTAGGTTTGAGGGAGCAAATGAGTCAACACCCCTCCCCCAGGAGCTGGCTGTTCAGGGCATTTCACTGTGGACGTTCCCGTTGCTGAGCCCACATCTCACTGTGCTGGCCACGGCCATCCCCTCCCCTCGAGGCCTGCACAGAGAGGTAGGCCTCCGCCCGGAGAAACCCTGCCAAAAGCTGCGGCCCTCAGGGTGGGGGCGGGGGGCTGGAGCCGCGATGGAGTCCATTCATAACCCCTCCCCATTCTGGCTCTGTGCGTTCCTCCCCACCGCACAGCGGTCCCAGAGAGGCGCTGAGAGCAGGAGGGCTGGGGCGGGGCGGGGCGGGGCGGCGCAGGGCGTCCCTGTTTGATGGGGACAGTCTCAGTTGGGAAGATGGTGGTGACTGTGCCAACGCGGCTGACCCGAGCGCCTGATGATGGTAAGGTGGTCAATCTTATGTGTGTGTTTGCACAATAAAAAAAGAGCAAGCTGCCGTAAAAGTTGTCAAATGAATAAATTAACCACCCCCCAAAAAAGAATGAGAGCAGGGAAGGTCCTGCCCCCCGCCCTCCCCGGTGGCTGCGGCCCACCTGCAGGGAGGCGGCCGTGTCCTCCAGGAGCTGCTCCGCACTGTCCTTCTCAGGCTTAAACCGGTCCAGCTGCCGGATCACAGTCTCGATGCATTTTCCGTGGTACCCCATTTTCCCGGGAGGTGCCCTGCAAGCAAACCCCACAGGTCACACCCTCCACGGCCTCGGACCCCGGAGGCCAGGACCATGGCCCACACGGGCAGGAGCCCCTGCAGCCTGGCCCTCGCCCTGGCGGGGAGAGTAGAATGGGAGTGGGGGCCACATCCCACACCGTGTCCCTGCCTCCTCTGCCACCGGCCCAGGCCGCCCCAGGTCCCCAGACCCCTCAGCTGTGCCCAGGCCGGGACCTCAGCCCAGCCGCCCCCCAGACCCCTCAGCTGTGCCCAGGCCAGAACCTCAGCCCAGGCCGCCCCCAGGTCCCCAGACCCCTCAGCTGTGCCCAGGCCAGAACCTCAGCCCAGGCCGCCCCCAGGTCCCCAGACACCTCAGCTGTGCCCAGGCCAGGACCTCAGCCCAGGCCGGTCCCCAGACCCCTCAGCTGTGCCCAGGCCGGACCTCAGCCCAGGCCGCCCCCAGGTCCTCAGACCCCTCAGCTGTGCCCAGGCCGGGACCTCAGCCCAGGCCGCCCCCAGGTCCCCAGACCCCTCAGCTGTGCCCAGGCTGGGACCTCAGCCCAGGCCGCCCCCCAGACCTCTCAGCTGTGCCCAGGCCAGAACCTCAGCCCAGGCCGCCCCCAGGTCCCCAGACCCCTCAGCTGTGCCCAGGCCGGAACCTCAGCCCAGGCCGCCCCCAGGTCCCCAGACCCCTCAGCTGTGCCCAGGCCGGACCTCAGCCCAGGCCGCAGGCAGCGTTACCCCACAGGCCCTGCCCGGCGGGACACAAAACCTCATCAGGGAATGCCCGGGCGAGATGACCTCAGGTCACCCTGTTTGACAGGACACCCCGTTCCAAAGATGAGGGGGCGAGCCCCAGAGAGGAGCACAGCGGCCGTGGCCGGCCTGGGATGGGCTCCGACCTGGGGACCTCTGAGCTGGAGGAGACGGTGCCAGGGCCCCGGGGAGACCCGGGGGGACTGTGGGGTGGGGCTGGACCAGGCGCTGCTCGAGGGGCGGGCTTCCACTCAGGCCTCTGGTTCCACGCTGGCCGGGCAGCTGCTGCTGGCCTTCCTGGGCACCAGCCATTGGCCACGTCAGACGGCGTGGGCGCGCCCTGGGCGGGGTACCCAGCGGTGCCTGAAGCATCGGTGGAGCGAATGGCAGGATGTGAACACACAGAGGACCACGGGTCCGAACGGCGCCTCCCGTTTAACCTGAAACATGCCTGTGACATCCCGGGACAGACCTGCCGAGGGCACGTCATCGCTCAGTAAGCCGCCGCTTTCACAGATCTTTTGCCTTCAACCAAGCCCCGTTCTCCCCTTTCACAGGGAAGTCCCGGGCCACACCGTGCTCACTGAGCAAGCGGATGTGAGAGAACACAGCTGTGCTGAGCCCGGGATGGGGGGCTGTCCTGCCTGTGGAGTCCCTGAGGCCTAGCACCTCTGCCTGACCTGTGACCCCTGGGGATGAGCCATGGCTGGCGAACAGGCACCCGTCAGTGTGGTAAAGGGAGCGACACCTGCGCATCTGGGGCTCGCAGGGAAAGGAGTCAGCCAGGATACGAAGTCCAATCAGCCCAGCGGTGTGGCTCAGTGTCAACCTTGGAGCCAGGAGGTCACGGTTCAATTCCCGGTCAGGCAGGGCACAGGCCCCGTTGTGGGCTTGGTCCCCAGGGTGGGGCGTGCGGGAGGCAGCCAGTCAATGATTCTCTTATCACTGATGTTTCTCTCTCTCTCCCTCTCTTCCTCTCTGACATAAATTAAAATATTTAAAATATATATATTTTATTGATTTTTTACAGAGAGGAAGGGAGAGGGGTAGAAAGTTAGAAACATCGATGAGAGAGAAACATCCATCAGCTGCCTCCTGCACACCTCCTACTGGGGATGTGCCCGCAACCAAGGTACATGCCCTTGACAGGAATTGAACCTGGGACCTTTCAGTCTGCAGGCAGACACTCTTTCCACTGAGCCAAACCGGTTAGGGCAATAAAAATATATCTTATGTTTTTATTATGTATAATGTTATAAACAATGTCCTGGCCCCTGGCCCCCTGTGGTGGTCATAGGAGGGGCCCTCGGCCCACCTTCCTGTGTCTGCCTTGAGCTCGGCTCTGCCTGGAGGAATGACCCAGGCCTCCTGCACCTCACGAGGCCGGGACAGTGGTGGCCTGCAAAGTGGGAGCGTCCCCTCCCGTCCTGGAGCCTGACCCCGGAGAGAGGGCGGTCCCAGCGGCTGGCGGTGACGAGGCCAGTCCGGGGGGAGCAGCCAGAGAAACAGCCCCCTCCCCAGTGGGGGCCTGGACGGACGATGAGCGCAGGGGAGGGGGATCTGTGGAGGGTGGTGGGGAGGAGGGTGGCCCTGGAGCAGCCCAGCTGGGCTTGAACCGTCCCTTCTGCAAACGTGGGCCCAAAGCAGCCACTCTGGTGGGTGCACATGGCAACAATGAGCCTATAAACTTGGCCAAATACTCACATCTTCCCTGGTCCGGGCGCATGCAGGAGGCAACCAAACAATGTGTTTCTCTCACATCGCTGTTCTCTGTCTCTCCCTCTCCCTCAAAACCAATGGGAAAATGTCCTCAGGCGAGGATTACAGAAAGCACTCACAGCTTCTGGGTTGGAAATACTTGTAGGTATTAACGTTCATCCAACTCTGCTGCCTGCCTCAGCACCCCGGCTTTATTTAGTGATGTTTTTGCAATCCTCACCCCAGAACGTGTTCCCCGATTTCAGAGGGAGAGAGAGAAACATCGATCCACTGCCTCATGTGCACGCCCCAACCAGAGATCCACCCAGATGTGCCCTGACCAGGAATCGAACCCGAAACCTCTCAGTGTAGGGGATGACGCGCCAACGAACTGAACCATTCGGCTGGGGCTCGGCTTCATATTAACGGTGCGAAACCAGCCATGAGGGCAGTGGGACAGATTGATTTTTTAAAAAAATGTATTTTATTGATTTTTTACAGAGAGGAAGAGAGAGGGATAGAGAGTTAGAAACATCGATGAAAGAAAATCACCAATTAGCTGCCTCTTGCACACCCCCTACTGGAGATGTACCCACAACCAATGTACATGCCCTTGACCGGAATCGAACTCGGGACCCTTCAGTCCACAGACCGACGCTCTACCGCTGAGCCACACCGGTTTCGGCCGGGGGGATTGATTTTGACTTCACTAATGAGGGCTTGACTCTCTCAGATGCAAGGAAACTCCAGGGTGGGATGGACAGACACTTCCCCTTTCTTAGCAAATCCGACAGAAACGAGAGCTAAATTTTATTGGACCAAATGAATCCAATATCCTCAAGCACCAGAGGCGCTTCCTTCCCATGGATCCCAGATGCGTCTTAATTAAACAGACTCTGTTCCTGGCTTTTAATTCTGATTAGAGCGAGCCTCCCGGGGGTTGCTGCCACGTCGCTCTGATGGCTTGTGCTTACAGCATCGGCCCGCAGGGCTGTCTGCCGGTTGTTTTCCAATCGATGCTCCCCTTTCCTCCTGAGGAAACAACCCGGAGTTTCCGATGAGCCTTCTGCAGACTCCCTGGCAGCTGGGCACCAGGAGTGAGGGACAGGCTCTGGGCCGTATGGAACGTGTCTGCGTACGGAAGGGGCATACCCTTCTCTCCTTCCCACCCTGCTGCCGGGACCCAGGAGGCGATGGCAGGAGCTCAGGCAGCCGTTCTGCGCTGCGAGGAAGCATGTTAAGGACGGCAGAAGAGCAAGCTATAAGGGCCCAAGTCCCTGAGGAGTTTGGGGGGCGGCCCTATCTCCCTGGGTCGCCTCCCTCTGGATCTCCTTTACGGAAACATGAGCTATCTTGTTTAGGCTCCAGGGATGCTAGCTGTTTCCTTCCCTGCAGTGGAAACCAATCCTACCCAATACGCCCACCGCCCTGAGGTCAGCCTCCATCCCAAGCCGCTCCGAACTGGGCAGGAGCCTCTGAGCAGCGGCCGCCGTCCCGGCCTTGGACTCCGTCAGAGACAGCCCCACAGAGAACAGTCCACCGCGTGCCTGTCTACCTTTCTCACTCCGGACCAGGCTGCTGGGGAGGGGCGGGCTTTCGGGGGAAGATGGAGAGTTTCAGGGGATTGGTCACACACCTCACTGGGAGATGCCTGGGCCCCCAGGGCAAGGCCCAGCTGGAGGTGAGGGAGGGACAGGTTGGCATAAAGGTTGTTTGTGAAACGTGGTCACAGGAAGTTGTCCGAAATGATGGAGACGCTTCCCAGGACCAAGTCGGCTCTCGTGTTAGCGGGTCTGAGAGCCAGAGGAGGCGTTGGCCAAGGAGGCGGGAAGAGCCACGGGGAGCGGCAGAGACTGACGATGTCCAGAGGACGGTGTCTGAGAGGGGTCACCGCTGCTGGCAGCTCAGGAAGAGGCGCTGAGTTCCGTCCCTGGGGTTAGCAGCATGGAGCTCAGGGACCACTTGAAGGACAGAGAGCCTCGGAGGAGGGGCTGGGCATGGCGGGCTCAGGAGAGAGGAGGCTGAACGGGATTGGAGGTGAGGCAGCTCCAGGTGAGGCCAGCAGGGAAGTCAGGCGGGGTCTCAGGCCCGGACGTGGGGGACCACCAGCACCCAGAGGGGAGGAGGGAGAGACACCCATCTGCTGCCTCCTGTGCGCACCCCACCCAGGGGTCCAGCGGGCATGGCCTGCACCCCGACCACGAACTGAACCCGAAACCTTTCATTGCACTCAGGAGGCTGCCTGCCCAGACTCACACTGCCTTGAATGGAACAGTGGGGCCAGGGTTCCAGCACCATCCGGGCACCCGGACCCTGTGTCCGGGTAACAGGCAGGAGCGCTGGGAGCACAGTCTCTGTCCTGCTCCTAAATCACCCCATTTCAGAGCAGCCGGAGGGGCACTGGGTGGGGACAGGGAAAGCTCGGGCTGTACTGGGGCAAACCTGGCCCTGGATCCCCTCTCCAGGCCCCTCTCTGGGCCAGAGTGGGGGGAAATCTCTTTGTGCCTCGGTTTCCCCCACTGACAGTGGGATTTAAAGTGGACCCCCATATGGTTTTCAGCCTCTGCTCCGCACAGATAGGTTCTCAGACTTTGGTGACTGTGTGTGTGTGTTTTGTTTTTTTTTAAATATATTTTTATTGATTTTTTTACAGAGAGGAAGGGAGAGAGGTAGAGAGCTATAAACGTCGATGAGAGAAACAGCCACCAGCTGCCTCTTGCACACCCCCTACCAGGGATATGCCCACAACCAATGTATATGCCCCTGACCGGAACCGAACCTGGGACCTTTCAGTCCGCAGACCGACGCTCTACCACTGAGCCAAACCGTTTTCGGCGGTGACTGTTTTTATGGATCCAAATTGGGGCACCATTGCGGGGGGGGGGGGGGGAATAGTGGGTATGGAGGGGGGCAGAAATAGTGAATATGGGGGAATAACCCCCTTTCCCCTTTAAGTCCGGTTTACTGTGGAGATTAAAAAAAAAAGAGCGCGGAGCCCTAACTGGTTTGGCTCAGTGGATAGAGCGTCGGTCTGTGGATGGAAAGGTCCCAGGTTTGATTCAGGTCAAGGGCATGTACCTTGGTTGCGGGCACATCCCCAGAAGGAGGTGTGCAAGAGGCAGCCGATCGATGTTTCTTTCCCATCAATGTTTCTAACTCTCTATCCCTCTCCCTTCCTCTCTGTAAAAAAATCAATAAAAAAATATATATATATTAAAAAAAAAAAGAGCGCCATTAACTTTAGTGAAGAAGCTAGGAAGTCCAAAAAGTTGGTGACCGAAAGCCAAGAAGCGGGAAGCGAAGACGCGGGGAGCTGCCCGCAGGTGGTGGGGCGGTGCGGAGGCGGGTGCAGGCACAGCCTCGCCCCTCCACTCTGGCCCCACCTCTCCGCCCCGTACCTGCCTGCGGGCCGCTGCACGGCGCTCTCGGACCTCCACCCGCCGCCACCGGGGCTCCCGGCACGGGAGGGCGTGAAGGGACCCGGGAGTGTCGATGGGCGCCCCGCTTCGCTCCTTGCTCCGCTGGGATCCTGCAAGCACCCGGGGCGCCCGTCGCAGGAGGCAAGAAGGGCGACAACCGGTTGGATGTCGTCGCCTAGCAACCCGCATCACGCTCCGGCGCCGTAGCAAGAAGACTACAACCCCCAGAATGCCTTGCGCCCACGGCGCGGCAAAGGGCCCAGCGCACAGGGCCCCGCCCCTGCGATGCCGGACGGGACTTGTAGTTTCAAGGCTCCGCTAGGCGCCCGGGCTGCCCCGGGCAGGGAGCGCGCCTCGGGCGGGGCCCGGCGCGGCGCGCGGATTGGGCAGCCCGGGCCGCGAGCGGCGGGCAGGGGGCTCGGGCCTCGGCGCATGTGCGGCGCGGGAGCGGGGGGGCCGGCGGAGGCGCGGGTGTCACTGAGCGGCGAGGCGCCGGCGCCCCCGAGCCGCGTCAGCCGGTCGCCCCCGCGGTCTGCGGGTCCGCGCCGCGCGCCGCCGGAGGAGCGTCTCCCGGCTGCGCACCTGCCCGGCGCCCCCGGCGCCCTGGGACCGCCGCCGCCGCCGGGCCCGGGCGCCTCGCCGGGAGGGAGGGCCGCCGGGCGGGCCGGGCCGGCGCGGCGATGATGCACAGGTTCCGAAAGTGGCTGTACAAACCCAAGGTGAGCGGCCCCGGCCCTCCGCCCGCGGGTCCCGCTCCAGCCCGGCGAGCGGCGGGCCCGGGAGCCCAGCCCCGTGCGCCACGGCCCCGCCTGGGTGCGCCCCCGCCCGCCCCGCCGCGCCCAGGGCGGCCCGGCTCCCTCGCCTTCCGTGTCCGCTCGCGCCTCGCGGCCCCCGTCCCCCGCCCGCAGCGGACCGCTCCTCCTGACCCCGCACCCCTGACTCTTCACCCCCCTTAGCCCTCATCCTGGGCTCGGAGGGCGCTCTGGACCTTTCTCCGCATTCCCGGGCGGACCCCGCCGCTGCCCCCGTTTCCTCTCCCCGGCCCCTGTGTCCGGAGCCGGTTCCCATCCACTGTCCGGGCCTGCCTTCCAGACCGGCCCGGTCCGCACCTCGGCCGGGGCGCCTCCACCGTGCCCGGCGCCCACCCGCGCTCCCCGCTCCCCGGCGGCCCTCCTCGGCCGGGCTGGGCGGCTGCGCCAGTCGCACTGCGGCCGCCGTGTCCCCGCCGCCCGCCCGCCCGCCCGCCCGGCCGGCGTGTCTGCTGCGGCCCGAGCGGCGGCGCAGGTCCTGGGCGCTGGGTCCTAGTGGCACCTCTGTGCCCCGGCCCGCGGTGCGGGAGGGCCCCGGGCGCCCAGGTCTGGGTTGGGGGGTTGTGGCTCCGGTGGGGTCTCGGACATCCGAGGCTGGGGTCGCTGATGGACCCGGGAACTCACCGCTCCTCCCAAGAACCACTTTTCTGGACCCGCTGCCCAGCTCCTGTCCCGTGAGGGCGCCCCCCGGGTGGGGTTTCCTTACATCCGTGCCCCCAGGTGCCCCCCCCCCCCTGCCCGAGGCAGCAGGTCCCTTAGGAGGTCAGGCGCTGGAGGTTGTGGGGTGCGCCCCCCATAGTGTGCGCTGCTGGTTTGGAGGCTCAGGATGCCTGGGCCCTGCCTGGGGCCCTCCCTGCCTGGGGCCCTCCCTGCCTGGGGCCTCCCTGCCTGGGGCCCTCCCTGCCTGGGGCCTCCCTGCCTGGGGCCCTCGGTTTCGGGTCCTTGCTTGCCTGGAGTCCAGCACTGCCCTCCGACCACATCCACCGTCGCACTACTTAGGGGTGGCGGGGCTGCCCAGACCCTGGCTTCCTGGGACTGAGTGTTGTTTGGCGCCCTCTTCTCACCCAGACCCACCAGGCCTCAGCCCCCCATGCCTCAGCCCCCCCCAGATCTCAGCCTCCCCAGGCCTCAGCCTCCCCAGACCTCAGCCCCCCAGGCCTCAGCCTCGCCCAGACCTCAGCCCCCCAGACCTCAGCCCCCTTAGGCCTCAGCCCCCCCCAGACCTCAGCCCCCCAGGCCTCAGCCCCCCTAGGCCTCAGCCCCCCAGGCCCCAGCCCCCCTCAGGCTTCAGCCCCCCAGGCCCCAGCCCCCCTCAGGCTTCAGCCCCAGGTAGGCTCGCCAGGGAAGGTGGTGGCAGCCGCTGCGCGGAGCACGTTCTGTTTGTGTGTCTTTGCCGCTAGCTGAGGAAAAGCTAAGTCTGCTTGTCTAAAGGTCACTGGGGGGCGTTGCATGTTCAAGGACAAATGGCCGGGGCCAGGGGACACGTCTCCCAGGCCAGGTAACACGGTGTCTCCGACAGCGCTGTCAGGGGTCCTGGCTGCGGCCTCTGTGCGGCCGGCTGGGAAGAGCCTGTGACCGGGGTCGCCTAGCGGGCTCCCTGAGGGAGGGGAGGAGAGGGATGGGGCCCGGTGTCATCGTGGGCGGTGACGCCTCGGCCCTGCCTGTGTCCCTCAGGGCCAGTCTTTAAAAGGCGAGAAGGATGCTGGCCCGTCCTGGAGCGTGTGCTGCAGAACGGAGGATGGGGTCCCTCCGTTTCCCTCGGCAGCGGGCGCTCAAGGCCTGCTCCGGCCTGATCCGGCGTTACCCACCCCCGTGACGGTGACGGGGCCCAAAGACGGGTGCTTCAGGGCCCGGGGGGGGGGGGGTCTGCTCTGCTCCTCCCTTTTCCTCCCTGTCAGCTCCTCATTCTGGCTCATCCCTGTCGCTGACCCCTGGGCTCCAGAGGCGCCTGCGTCTCCGCGTCCCGCGTGGCATCTGTGGGCAGCGGTGCCCGCGTCCTAACTCTATCCCTCTCTGTGTCCCCCGGGGCTGGGCAGTCGGTGCCTCATTTGAGATCCGTCTCTGGACCTAAATGTCTCGATTGTTTGAAGGCGTGGGGTATGTGAGGTCACCCAGGCGCCGTTCATTCTTCATGCCGCCGCTCAGCGATTTGCCTGGCACTGCGAGCTGAGTTTCATTCTCCCCCTCCTACGGAGCTTAACACGTTTGGCACAGTCAGCACCCGGCGGGCCTGCCTGGGAGGCTCCGGCCCGGCATGGCTGCTGTTAGCTGAGAGTGGCGGCGGGAGGATGTGTCTGGGGGGACGGTGCCTGCGAAGGCACTTTTTTCACGTTGGGATTAGCTGCACATAGACGGAGCCCAGCTCGGTGCGGGACGGGGTGCTGAGCTGCTGGCTCGCGCTGCGGTGGCAGACACCTCGAGACCCACGTGCTCCCTGTGCTTGTCGCTCTGAGAAGGTTGGGGTGCCTCGGCTCTGCCTGACGCCCGGCCGTTTTCCTCCCTGAGTCGTTAGTAACTGCCTACGTCCAGTGAAACGTGAACCCGATGGAGGTGTAGTAGTATCACATTAAAACCCATTTGCTGCCCGGCCGTGTGGCTCAGTGGTTGAGCGTCGTCCTCTGAACCAGGAGGTCATGGTCCGATTCCTGGTCAGGGCACAGGCCGGAGTCGTGGGCTCCATCCTCAGTTGGGCGTGCAGAGAGGCAGCCCTGCAGTGATTCTCTGGCATCAGTGATGCCTCTCTCTCCCCCCCCTTCCTTCCTCTCTGAAACCAGTGTTAAAAAATGTCTGGAGAAGCCCTTTGCACGCTCACGTCTCCGTGTGCCTTCTGGGAGGCAGTCAAACTCTGCGGCTGCTTTCCTTTGGCCGTTATCCTTCGTGCACAGCCTGCGGGGCTGTGATTTCTCCAGACTGCGGCTGCTCACCGGAGGGTTCCTGCTGTCAGCGGGAGATGTCAGCGGGAGATGGGCCAGAATGACTGTGTTTTGCATCTTTGAGGAGGAATCGCGGGCGCCGGTGGCTGGGGCCTCCTGGGGGCACAGAGGCTGTTCGGGGCATGGGGGGCCAGTGATCCGGGCTGTTGGGGGTCTGTTCAGTCCCAGCCGGCGGCCCTGCCAGTAAAGGCTGAGCGCCTCGCAGCACCGCCGCCCTCGAAGGGCAGTCCGCTCTGCGTGAGTTGCGGGAGGCCGGCTCCCGGAAAGCCTGGGCTCGGCCTGTGCCCGCTGCCAGCAGGTGCCAGGCACGGAGCGGGAAGTTCTGGGAAGGATGCTGGGCAGCGCTGAGTCAGGGCCAGCAGCTTCGCTCCTCCTGGACTCAGCAGGGACCAGCCCCGCCCTCCCCGCTGCCAGGTCCCTGCCCGCCCTCCCCGCCCTCCCCGCTCCTTCAGATGCACCGCAGTGCCCGCTGTGGGCGCGGGAGGCCTGGGGTCGCTCAGGGTCGCTCACCGCCCCGGCTTCAGTACTCCTGCCTGGCTGGCCCCAGAGCGGGCGGCGGGGGAGGGGGGCAGCGGGGGGGAGAGGGACGGGGGGGGGGCTGCGGGGGGAGAGGGTTGGCGGGGGAGGGGGGCAGCGGGGGGGAGAGGGTTGGCGGGGAGGGGGGCAGCGGGGGGGGGAGAGGGGCGGCGGGGGAGGGGGGCAGCAGGGGGATTGGACGGCGGGGGAGGGGGGCAGCAGGGGGAGGACGGCGGGGGAGGGGGCAGCAGGGGGATTGGATGGCGGGGGAGGGGGCAGCAGGGGAAGAGGGACAGCGAGGGAGGGGGGCAGCAGGGGAAGAGGGACAGCGAGGGAGGGGGGCAGCAGGGGAAGAGGGACAGCGAGGGAGGGGGGCAGCAGGGGAAGAGGGACAGCGAGGGAGGGGGTCAGCAGGGGGAGAGGGGCGGCCGAGCGGGGTGGCCCTGCAGGGCGGCGGCTCCGTCCGCGCTGGGCGCCATGGCAGAGCAGCGCGGAGGGGAAGTGCGGTTGTGGCTCTGAGTGGGAGTCGGCCGAGGTTGGAAGCCTCATCTCATGGCTCCCCCCGCCACGGAGCCTGTGCCGTCCCCGATGCTCAGCGCCTCCCCAGCTGCGGGGCCCGGAGCAGCAGACACGCTTGTCAGCGTGCGGATGCCCATCCCTGAGCCCCGGGTGGCGCCATTCTCCCGTGGTGTGCTGTGTCCCCGTGTGCTGTCCCCCCCGTGTGCTGTGTCCCCCGTGGGCTGTGTCCCCCGTGGGCTGTGTCCCCCGTGTGCTGTGTGCCCCGTGTGCTGTGTCCCCCGTGTGCTGTGTCCCCCGTGTGCTGTGTCCCCCGTGTGCTGTGTGTCCCCCCGTGTGCTGTGTCCCCCGTGTGCTATGTCCCCCGTGTGCTGTGTGTCCCCCCGTGTGCTGTGTGTCCCCCCGTGTGCTGTGTGTCCCCGTGTGCTGTGTCCCCCGTGTGCTGTGTCCCCCCGTGTGCTGTGTGTCCCCCTGTGTGCTGTGTCCCCGTGTGCTGTGTGTCCCCGTGTGCTGTGTCCCCCGTGTGCTGTGTCCCCCCGTGTGCTGTGTGCCCCGTGTGCTGTGTCCCCGTGTGCTGTGTGTCCCCCCGTGTGCTGTGTCCCCCGTGTGCTGTGTGTCCCCCGTGTGCTGTGTCCCCCGTGTGCTGTGTCCCCCGTGTGCTGTGTGTCCCCCGTGTGCTGTGTCCCCCATGTGCTGTGTCCCCCGTGTGCTGGGTCCCCCGTGTGCTGTGTCCCCCGTGGGCTGTGTCCCCCGTGTGCTGTGTCTCCTGGTGGGCTGTGTCCCCCCGTGTGCTGTGTCCCCCCGGGTGCTGTGTGTCCCCGTGTGCTGTGTCCCCCGTGTGCTGTGTCTCCTGGTGGGTTATGTCCCCCCGTGTGCTGTGTCCCCCGTGGGCTGTGTCCCCTGTGTGCTGGGTCCCCCGTGTGCTGTGTGTCCCCCCGTGTGCTG